TTTCTAAAGTTTTTGGGACTCCAGAAGCCCCTGCATCACTGCTTTTGAGTGGACCATAGAAGAAAAGCATAGTCTGGGCTCCTCCTCCCTGGGTGACCTGATTATCTCTCACTTGCCATTGAATCCCACTCACACTGCAGTTATTTTCATTCTGTTCCAAGGGGATAATAGATTTAGATCGTGTTCTTGTTCTGAACATGTGCACAGTATTAGATAAAAGGGGTAGCTTCTACTAATGATACACTTCTCTAACTGGATGAGTTACAGAGCGAAATACACATGGAAGCTGGAGTTGTGTAACCACTTCCATACAGCTCCACCCCTTTGCTGCTGCTTACATGCTATACTGATGTAGGGGCCAAAAAATATTTTTCCTCTATTTCCGCTGCAAAGTAGAGTGGCCAAAGACAGATTAACGAGAGAAAAGCAACTAGAATTTTATTAGCATATGCATCTTGCTTACACATGGGAGCACCCCGGGATGAGTAACCCAAAGTGGTGGTTATAACTTGGCATGGTGGCTCACACCTGTAATCCCAGCACTTTGCTAGGCCGGGGCAGGAGGACCCTTTGAGCCCAGTTTAAGCTGCCTAGGAATAAAATATTCAAGACCAGCCTGGGCAACAAGTGAGGCCCCATCTTTACAAAAAACTAGCTGGGTGTGGTGGCATGCACCTGTAGTCCCAGCAACTCAGGAGGCTGAGGTGGGAGGATCGCTTGAACCTGGGAGACTGAGGCTATGGTGAGCCATGATCATGCCAGTGCCTGCGCAACAAAGTGAGACTGTCTTAAAAAAAAAAAAAAGAAAAAGGAAAAGCGGTTTTGGGCTTCTGGATGGGAAGGTGTTTTGGGCAAGTTACAGGAAGGTGACCGGGAAAAGTATGGTGAACAAGAGTTGTCTAGAGAGGTTTGTTACATAGGTTTCTGTCACTTCTCCACTTTTAAGAGTTGTTAACAGTGCTCCCATTCTTGGTGCTAGAGAGGGAGACACCTCTACAAATGGAAGTGTCCTTTACAAAAAGAAAATTCATGCCCTGTTTTTAGAATTTTTCCTGAGTCTGCTTGTTCTCAATGACCTCTAGCTTAAAATAATCCGTATTCTGGCACCCTTCAGTCATATTGTAGACAAGATATTGCACAGTGGTTGTTGATGACACCATATCTTTCCTTTTTTCTCTCAAAGTGCTCTTTGGATTTTATGTTTCTACATTTAGGAATGCCAGAAACTTTCTGTTTTTCCCCCTTACACTGTCAAAGTAGAAATTATAAGCCACAAGGTAAAGGAAAATCTCTTGGTGATAGACAAAATCCATGTCATCTCCGAAATGTATTTTCATGTGTCACTAATACTGACATTTAAGTCACTGAGCTCTTTAGAGTTTGTGCAAGTTAAAATAATATCTGCCATACTTAGGTAGTAAAATATCTGGGATAGTTCAAAGAATTGTTTCCAGTACAAGATGTGGATAGTTGGAGCTCATTCCTTTCCCTGCTGTGGCCACAGCCATGAGTATGCTCTAGCTTCTGAAGAGACTCGCCTCCAGTGTCCTCCACTGTGGCAAGAAGGTCTGGTTGGACCCCAATGAGATCAGTGAAATTGCCAATGACAACTCCCATCAGCAGATCCGGAAGCTGATCAAAGATGGTCTGATCTTCCGCAAGCCTGTGACGGTCCATTCCCAGGCTCGATGCCTGAAAAAGACCTCGGCCTGCAGAAGAGCAAGCACATGGGCACAGGTAAGCAGAAGGGTACAGCCAATGCACAAATACCAGAGCAGGTCATGTGGATGAGGAGAATGAGGATACTGCTCTGGCTGCTCAGAAGTTACTGGACTCTAAGATTGATCACCATGTGTATCACAGCCTGTACCTGTAGGTGAAGGGTAATGTATTCAAAAACAAGTGGATTCTCATGAGACACGGCCACAAGCTGAAGGCAGACAAGGCCCACAGGAAGCTCCTGGCTGCCCAGGCTGAGGCCCGCAGGTCTAAGACCAAGGAAGCATGCAAGCACCATGAAGAGGCCTCCAGGCAAGGAGGAGATCATTAAGACTTTGTCCAAGGAGGAAGAGACCAAGAAATAAAAGCTCCCCCTTTGTATATACTGGCTTCCATGATTGCATAGATCAACCATTAAAATAAAACAAGTTAAAAAAAATTGATAGTTGCAAAATGTGAAAAAAATGCCCTGTATTCTGTATTAAAGCAGAAATGTGTTTTTACCTTATATTGAACTCCTACTTGCCTCTATTATCATATACAGTATTTTTTTCCTAAAATTGTTAACTTTGGAGGAGTGATTGGACTTATTTAATTTTTTTTAACAGCTGTGTTGAGAAGTCACTCACATGCAATATAGTTCGCCATTTTAAAGTGTGCCTTTCAGTAGCTTTAATATATTCAGAGTTGAACAGCCATCACTGTAGTCTCATTTTAAAACGTTTTCATCATACCCAAAAGAAACCATGTACCCAAATCATTCCCTGTTACCCCGCCCACCGCCGCAGCACTAGTCAACCACTACCTCCATCTCTATAGATTTGCCTATTCTAGATATTTCATACAAATGGAATCATACAGTGTATGGCTGTGTTAGCTTGCAATTGCTACTGTAACAGACTATCACAAACTGAGTAGCTTAAAACAACAGAAATTTATTTCTCACAATTCTGCAGGCCGGAAGTCTGAAATCAAGGGGTTAGGGTTTGTTCCCTCTTAGGGGGTCAGAGGGAGAATCTGTTCCATGCCTCTCTTTTTGTTTCTGTAAGGCCAGCAATTCTTAGCATTCGCTGGCTTGCAGGTACAACACTCCAATCTCTGCCTGAGTCTTCACGTGGCCATCTCCCCTGGGTGTGTTTATATGACCTTCTTATAAGGACTTCCCTCATTAGATTACAGCCCTTCCTAATCCAGTATGATCTCATCTTAACTGATTACAGCTGCAGGGACCCAATTTCCAAACAGCGTCACATTCTGAGGGTCTGGTGGACATGAATACTGTTCAAGCCTTTTGTGTTTAGCTTCTCTCACGTTGCATAATTTTGCCAGGGTTCATCCGTGTTGTAGTTGTTGTGATACATGTTATCTGGACTTAATTCCCTTTTATGGCTAAATAATGTCCCACTATGTGGATATACCAGATTTTATTCATTACTTCATCATTTGATGGGCATTGGGTCATTTTGACTTTTGTGGATAAGCTGCTTTGAATAGTCATGTATGAGTTTTTGTGTAGACTTATGTTTTCATTTCTCTTGAGTTAGATGTGTTTAACTTTTAAATCTGTCAAGTGTGATGTACCTTTTTCTTTGTATAAATGTATGGGGTACAAGAACAATTTTGTAACGTGCATAGATTGTGCAGTGGTCAAGTCAGGGCTTTTAAGGTATCCATCACCTGGCCATCCATCACTGAATAACATACATTATACTCATTATGTATGAATTAGGCTTCTTGGCCCAACACAGTGGTTGTAATCCCAGCACTTTGAGAGGCCAAGGTGGATGGGTCACCAGAGGTCAGAAGTTTAAGAACAGCCTGCCCAACCTGGTGAAACCCTATCTCTACTAAAAATACAAAAATCAGCCAGGTGTGGTGGTAGGTGCCAGTAATCCCAGCTACTTGGGAGGCTGAGGCAGGAAGATTGCTTGAACCCAGGCAGGAGGTGGAGGTTGCAGTGAGCCAGATCACACCACTGCACTCCAGCCTGGGTGACAGAGTAATATTCCATTTAAAAAAAAAAAAAAATTAATTAAGCTTCTTGTCTTCCTCTTTCCTTCTACTCCCTCACCCTTCCAAATCTCCATTGTCTGTCATTCCAGTCTCTATGTCCATGAGTCCACATTATTTAGCTTCCACTGATGAGTAAGAACTTGCGATATTTGTTCTTCTGTATCTGACTTCATTTTTTATTTTTTAATTTTAATTTTTTGACTTGTTTTACTTAAGACGTACATATTTATGCCACTCTGTGGTAATGGCTGTTAGTTATTAAAATTCTAACAGTCGTTCTGAAAAAATGAATTCTGGTTCATTTTCTGAATCTTGAGTTTATGTTGTATTTCAGGGACTTTTCAGTGACTCATCTTTGGGGAATTATGTTTTGTGGGAAATATGCTTCTTTCTTTACAGCTTATTTGTTGGAAATCTGTTGCTAACATTGCAAATAAAGCTGTCTAGTCTCTCACTTGCTGGTCTGTGTCCTTTGTTATTTGTAGTAGAATTTAACTTTTTTTTTTTTTTTTTTTGAAACAGAGTCTTGCTCTATTGCTCAGGCTGGAGTGCAGTGGCGCAGTCTCAGCTCACTGCAGCCTTCACCTCCTGGGTTCAAGCAGTTCTCCTGCCTCAGCCTCCCAAGTAGCTGGGACCACAGGCACTTGCCACCATGCCCAGCTAATTTTTGTATTTTTAGTAGAGACGGGGTTTCACCATGTTGGCCAGGATGGTCTTGATCTCCTTACCTCGTGATCCATCCACCTCGGCCTCCCAAAGTGCTGGGATTACAGGCATGAGCCTCCACCTCTGGACGCATTTAAACCATTTGCAAAGCCCTTTCTCTTTGTGATATTTTGGTTTTTGTGGGGTTTCTTTGTTTTTGTTTTTGTTGTTTGGAAAGAGTCTTGCTCTGTTATCCAGGCTGGAGTGCAATGGCGTGATCTCAGCTCCCTACAACTCTACCTCTCTGGTTCCAATGATTCTCTTGCCTCAGCCTCCCAAGTAGCTGGGCTTACAGGTACCTGCCACCACGCCCAGCTAATTTTTGCATTTTAAGTAGAGATGGGGTTTCATCGTATTGGCCAGGCTGGTCTCAAATGCCTGGCCTCCCAAGGTGCTGGGATTATGGGCATGAGCCACCAACGCCTGGTCTCCTCCCCTACTAATTTCTTGACAAATTAGTAGGGACTTCATTATATCAACTCTAGAGCCTTATTGTTCTGCATATTTTATATTTAAACCAAATAAACATTTCATAAAACTAATTTTTTATTTTTTCTTGACAGATCACTTACAACCTTGGGGTTGGTTATATCATCACTGGCTGACCAGGCAGCTGGCAAGGGTAAAAGCAAATTTGTGCCTTATCGAGATTCAGTCCTCACTTGGCTGCTTAAGGTAATCCATTGCTCTAGTTTTCTTTTCCATCTAAAAATTGGCTGTTCCAGATGCCACAGAGTAAAGGTGTGTGCAAAGCTGAGCGAATATATAAAGAACTCTCCTGATGACAGTTACTCTAATTCCTAGGAACACAGAATAAAAACTGTTTTCTACTGCTTTTTGTTCCATTAGAATGCTGTTTGACAGGCATTATTCATTGCTGTGAATATAGAGAAAATACATTTCATCTTGTCGTGACATTATTTGTAAAATGCAAGTCCTTTCCACATAACGTTTCCTTTATAGAGAATAATGTCATACATAACACATTTAGTGCTTTGATTAGACGCATTGTCCACGGAGTGGGCTTCCTAAGATGCTGTTTGAAATACTTTGCAGGACAATTTGGGAGGCAACAGCCAAACCTCTATGATAGCTACCATCAGCCCAGCAGCAGACAACTATGAAGAGACCCTCTCCACGTTAAGATATGCAGACCGAGCCAAAAGGATTGTGAACCATGCTGTTGTGAATGAGGACCCCAACGCAAAAGTGATCCGAGAACTGCGGGAGGAAGTTGAGAAACTGAGAGAGCAGCTCTCTCAGGCAGAGGTAAAAGCAGCCTGGTGCTCCCTGTTGATAAAGTTCCCTGGCTTGCGGGATTTGAGCGCAAGGGTGCACTCGTCTGCAATTGTAGGTCATTGTTTGCAGTTGTAGGTCATCTGTTATGGTTTGGATTTGTGTCTCCACCCAAATCTCATGTTGAATTATAATCCCCAGTGTTGGAGGAGGTGATTGGATCATGGGGGTGGCCTCCCCCTTGCTGTTCTTGTGATAGTGAGTGCTCACCAGATCTGGTTGTTTAAAACGGTGTGCCACCTCCTCCTTCACTCCCTTCCTCCTGCTCCAGTCATGTAGGATATGCCTGCTTCCCCTTATGCCATGATTGTAAATTTGCTGAGGCCTCCCCAGCCATGCTTTTTATGCAGCCTGTGGAACCATGAGCCAATTAAACCTCTTTTCTTTGTAAATCACCCAGTCTCAGGTATTTCTTTATAGCAGTGTGAGAACAGACTAATTAATACATCATCTCAGTGTGGTTCAGCACTTCAGTGTTTATTGGCATCTGCCAAGTGCTAAGCATTGTGAAGACCAACACAAGTAATACAAGACTTGTGTCTTAGGAACTTACAGTCACAGAAACAAACAAATGAGAGATAATTCCTGCTACTACCAGACCATTTGCATCAGTAAATCAGTTGGCCTTGAATTGTCAGTAGGAAAGTATGTTGTTTTTATTAACATTATAGACTATATTTCCACAGGGCCTGGTAATTTTCAGAGAACTTAGTTAGGTATCATCTCCTTGTTAAGCCATGGAAACAGCATGATCAAGGATAATTAAACATTAGGAATAATTCAGAAATCTTTTACTTTTCCGTTTATATCAGGCCCCGGCAAGAAAGAAAATCTTTTTTGCATTGTTATCTTCTTTCTTTGGCTTTACTCAAACTTTAATAATGATATATTATTCCAAATAGGTATTGCTTTTTGCAAATTATTGGGTGAGGCAGTGTCTTATTTGAAATATGTAAGAGAACAGCTTTGGAAGCCAAGTGCCTTATTTAAGTCACAGGGTTCCACATGTCAGGACTTGGGAGTATACCTGACACTTCTAAGTTTACATTCCTTCACCACTCTCTTCGACCCCACTAAAGTTGGGAGAGTATTAACTTGTAAGAAAAAAGAAAGAAAAACAGAGTTAACGGCCACTATTTACGGATCACTCATATGCCAAACACTATGTAAAGACTTTTATCCATCAGCATATTTCATCAAAAAGTAATCAATAGAAGACTGAAAACACAAAAAGCTATAGCCAGGAGTCTGAATACTCTATTCATTGGTGATCTTGGCATTGTGTTGTAATTGTTTATTCATATATCTTTCTCTTCTTTCAGGCTATGGCTCGTAAAGTACAAGATGCTGTGTTTTATTAATTTTTTTCTTTTTTTTTGAGACAGAGTCTTGCTCTGTCACCAAGCTGGAGAGCAGTGGTATGCTATCGGCTCACTGCAACTTCTCTCTCCAGGTTCAAGCAATTCTCCTGCCTCAGCCTCAGAGTAGCTGGGATGATAGGCATCTGCCACCACGCTCAGCTAATTTTTGTATATTTAGTAGAGATGTGGTTTCACCATGTTGGCCAGGATGGTCTTGATCTCCTGACCTCATGATCCACCCACCTCGGCCTCCTGAAGTGCTGGGATTACAGGCGTGAGCCCCTGTGCCCTGCCTTAATAATTTTGTTTATCCCTAACCCCTAGCCTAACAATGATACAAGAAAGCACTTAGCACAATGTCTTCCATATAGTAAGTGCTCAATAAATGTTGCTGATTTTTATTATCATCATTCAGTGCATTACATATAATTTTTTGACTGATGCTAAGAAGGGTAGCAAAACACCAGAAAAATAAAATGCAGATAAACTTTGAAAATAGTCATGATGCTAGGAGGACAGTATAATGGTTCTGCAGCGTGTTTATAGGTGGATCGTCGACTTATTTGCATTTCTACTGTGACCATATAACCTAGGTCAGATGGCTCAAGCAGCACCTGACCAAAGGAAACAAAAGAAGAGCCACATAGGTCCACCTAGAATTTTATTTTTCTGTTTCTTTTATCCTTTTTTTTTTTTTTTTTTTTGAGACAGGATCTCACTCTGTTGCCCAGGCTGGAGTGCAGTGGCACTATCTTGGATTACTACAACCACCACCTCCTGGGTTCAAGTGATTCTCTTGTCTCAGCCTCCCAAGTAGTTAGGATTACAGACAGGCATGTCCCATTATACCTAGCAAATTTTTTGTATTTTTAGTAGAGACAGTGTTTCACCATGTTAGCCAGGCTGGTCTGGAACTCCTGGCCTCAAGTGATCTGCCCACATCAGCCTCCCAAAATGTTGGGATTACAGGCATGAGCCATTGGCCTGGTCTGTAATTTTCATATGTGTCGCACTGTACTCAGCACTAAATGCCGCTGTCAGGCTTTGTTAATACCATGAGCCTTAGGCATACTCAGCTAGCTTTTGTATCGTCACATCCCAGCTTCTTGTCCAAGCTCTGCCATCTTTCTTGTTCGTGGAGTTTTACTCTGTAGAGACTCATGTTACTTTAAGGTGTCAAAGCATATCATTGACAAGGAAAGACCTCTCCCCTGAATATTTTGTTAAGCGGCAAATATCTGTATTGAACCCTCATAGTTACTCTCCCTCAACAAACAAGAAGGGAAACCATTGCCCTCTTAACCAGCTCTTCTGCTTCTGGCTGAGTGATAAATAAGCAAAATCTATTACCATCAGTGGAGAAAAGTAGTCCAAACACCCAGATTCGAAATTTAAAATACATGAGAAGTCTTTACCTTTTCTAGCAGATTAATTTAACTGGAATTCATTTATTGATGATGAGTGTTAACCTCTGTCTTACTGAAAAAGAAGTCTGCTTAAGTAAACTTTTTTCCTACTTATCTGTTTCAAAGTTGAACGTTAGTATCTGTTAGGGCTTTAAATGTGAGATGTAAGTATGATGGATAATATGACTCTAATGATTTGTTTCATGTTCTCTCAGGATGTTGGTATTTCTTTTTCTCCTTGGAATAGGAGCAGCCATGTTCTCTTACATTTGTTTGATTAATAAAGGTTAAAACCCACCCCAACAGCATATAACTTAATTTTTTCCAACAGACTGTTGTTAACTGCTTACGAGGGACAGTAACTGATTGTCTTGTATATAATGCTGGAAAAATTTTGAACGTCAGATATCTCTGATTTCATTTTAAAGGCCATGAAGGCCCCTGAACTAAAGGAGAAGCTTGAAGAGTCTGAAAAGCTGATAAAAGAACTAACAGTGACTTGGGAAGAGAAGTTGAGGAAAACAGAAGAGATCGCACAGGTAGCTTGATAATTTAGCCCTAAGTATTGGGATTCTTTTTCATTTATTGTCTTTTCTGTGTAGTTTCCTGTCATCTTCAGAACGTCCTTTTTTTTTTGAGACAGAGTCTTACTCTTTCGCCCAGGCTGGAATGCAGTGGCGTGATCTCAGCTCACTACAACATCCACCTCCCAGGCTCAAGCATCTCTCCTGCCTCAGCCTCCTGAGTAGCTGGGATTACAGGTGCCTATCGCCACGACTGGCTAATTTTTGTATTTTTAGTAGAGATGGGGTTTTACCATGTTGGCCAGGCTGGTCTCAAACTCCTGACCTCAGGTGATCTGCCCGCCTCAGCCTCAAAAGTTCTGTGATTATAGGTGTGAGCCACTGCGCCCAGCCTTAGAAAGTCTTTTAAGGGCGCTTTTCTGCTGAGCCAGAGATTGCAAAGATCACCTTTTTTTTTTTTTTAGACTGAGTCTCCCTCTGCCACCCAGGCTGGAGTGCAGCAGCTCAGTCAGAGCTCTCTTGCAGCCTCAGCATCCTGGGCTCAAGTGATTCTCCTGCCTCAGTTCCCCAAGTAGCTGGGACCACAAGCATGTGCAACCATGCCCAGCTCATTTTTTCTGGCTTTTTTTTTTTTTTTTTTTTTTTTTTTTTGTAGAGGTGGGGTCTTACTTTGTTGTTCAGGCTGGTCTCAAACTCCTGAGCTCAAATGTCTTCTGCCTCAGCCTCCCAGAGCGCTGGGGTTACAGGCATGAGCGACTGTGCCTGGCCCAGCAAACATCACTTTTAGACATTGACTTTATGTCTTTTTATCAACGTACAATATGGCCCATAAGTTTCTAGACGTGTTAACGCTAAATTTGAACAGACATGGTTACAGAAAATGTCATGTGTATTTCCTGCTCTTCTTATTTGCTGTTTGTGATTTCTTTTTTTTTCCTAGAGAGTCTCTGTTACCCAGGCTGGAGTTGCAGTGGCTCGATCTCAGCTCACTGCACCCTCCGCCTCCTGGGTTCAAGCAGTTCTCCTTCCTCAGCCCCCTGAGTAGCTGGGACTAGAGGTGTGCACCATTACACCTGGCTAATTTTTTTTGTACTTTAGTCGAGATGGGGTTTCACAGGCTGATCTCAAATTCCTGAGCTCAGGCAATCCACTCACCTCGGCCTCCCACAGTGCTAGGGTTACAGGTGTGAGTCACCGTGTCGGCCTTATTTTGTGATTTTTTAAATCACCTGGCAAAGCATGAGGCTACCTGATTTTTCTTTTTATTTTATTGATTTATTTATTGATTGAGGTGGAACCTTGCTTTGTCACCCAGGCTGGAATGCAGTGGCATGATCTCAGCTTCCTGCAACCCCCGCCTCCCAGGTTCAAGCCATTCTCCTGCCTCGGTCTCCAAAGTAGCTAGGACCACAGGCATGTGCCACAACACCTGGGTAATTTTTGTATTTTTTTTTTTAGTAGAGACATGGATTCACCACGTTGGCCAAGCTGGTCTCAAACCCCTGACCTCAGGTGATCCACCTGCCTCAGCCTCCGAAGAGGCTACCTAATTGACAGAGAATTTGTAACATATAGCATATCATAATTTTTGTAATGTATTTGATTCTTTGGGCTTGTTAGGAAATGCTGTATGTTTATATTTTAACTTTTACTTAAGATATAAAGGAAGGACTAATTCTCGGGGGTCATGTGCATCATGAATTTCTCTACATTATATATTTCACAAACATTTTTAATCTCATTGACCATTTGGAAATATTGGACCATCTCCATCAAGTAGCTTAACAGCAGTCACTGGAACCCAGTCCAACCTTCTGCTGATATGTTTCTTATAGATATCATTCACACACCAACATACTCCTATCCTTACTCTCTATGCTTTTAACATTGCTTTATGTTTCTTCATATTACTTAACACCATTGGAAATTCTGTGTACCATATTGACTTGCCTGCTTTCTTACATCCTGTTTCTCCCACCAAAATATAAGCTTTCATGAAAGACAGGACTTTATTTGATTCAGTGCTGTATTCCCAGCCTGAGATCAATAACTACTACATTGGAGACTGTAATAAATGTATCTCGAATGAATGAATGAATACAAGGCCTTCCACAGTAGAGACCCAGCCTTCTCTTCCAGCCTCAACTCCCACTGCTTTCCCATATTTGGCAGGGGTTCTTTGCCCCTGAAACCATCTCGTATGTCCAGAGTCTTTCTTTACCGTGTTTCCATATGTCCTGCCCCAAGAACACCCTATCCTTATATATGCTGAAATTCTTCTTATGCTTCAGGAACTATCTCAGATGTATTCTTTTTCTCCAGCCTTTCTTGGTCTCTTAATCCATCACGATCTCTCTCCTTTGAAGCCCCTGGCATTTTGTACCCTTCCAATAGCACAGCACTCTCTTCTTTTGTCCTCTAGTTTTGTGGTCTTGTCCCTTGTTCTAGACTCTAAGCCCCTTAGGAGGCAAAATGGTGTCTGGTTCATCCTTGGTGCCCCTATCACCCCTGCCACAGATGCCGTGCACTGTAGACTCTGTAAATGTGGTTGAGGAGAGTAGCCTGTGTAATCCCGTTGGCATTGTCCCCAGAAACAGTGACTTACTCTTTCCGTGGATACATCTTGTGACTAGAACAACAAATAGCGTTTCCTTCTTTTGTCTGTCTTTGTGCACAGGAAAGACAACGACAACTTGAAAGCATGGGGATTTCCCTGGAGATGTCTGGTATCAAGGTGGGGGATGACAAATGCTACTTAGTCAACCTGAATGCAGACCCTGCTCTTAACGAACTTCTGGTTTATTATTTAAAGGTAGGAGAATATATAAATACATAGTTGCAATCAAGATTCATTCCTATATAGTTCCTAGTTGAATCTGGGTACCTGCCTCTGTGATGTTGCTTTTTGTATCCAGCTTAGCCCTCAGTAAAAGTAAGAAGATGGATAGTGCCCTCAGATCACCACTGAGAAGGAAAAACAGCTATTTTTTATCATGTGGCGCTGTGCAGTTAGGACTGATCTCCTGTGAGTGCAGGCTTCAGAGGGGCACAAGTGGGCAACAGTAGGTGTCAAGGTGATGCCTACCTATATGAGAAGGCTCTAGGTATGAGATGACGAGGATTTGGGGAATATCTGTGTTCTTCCGCAAAGATCCTGAGAAGCTCTGGAGGTTCTTAGTTATGTTTCTGAGTAATTCCAAGGAGATCTCAAGATCAACACAAGCCTAAAGCAGACCCTCGTGCTAGATTAAATAAACAACAAGGTTCTTCTAGATCTATCCCTTGTAAACCTGTATCCTCAAGAAATAACTTTTGGTCCCTTAATCACCCTTCAAGTGTAGAGGTGGGATGTGGCCACAGGACACGCCATGTTGGATAGCTTACTGTAGTGGTTCTCAGATTTTCTGACTTCAGAACCCATTTACACTCATAAAAAGTATCAAGGACTCCAGAGAACTTTCATGTATCTGGGTTATATCTGTGTTTACTGCATTGGATGCTAAGACTGAGAACATTTTAAACTACAAACATAAACATACAACCCCTAGCCCTCAGGGCTATAGCATCATTACATGTCTCATTGACTCTGGAAAACTCTACCATCACACGAATGATAAAATGAGAGAGCAAAGGCAAACCACGTGTTCATGTTTCTATTAAAGTAGTTTTGACCTCATAGCCTCCTGCAGGGTTCTCGGAGACTCCAGGGGTTTTCAGATCACACTTTCAGAACTGCTTGCTTACTCTGCAAAGTGAGAAATAAGACATCTGATGGACATTGGTGTAGGACACCACGACTGACATATCGCATTCAGCCAGCCATCAGGGCATTTTTAACCTCACACATACACACTCTTTCTGAGTCACAGAAACGAACTTTCAAGGATTGGGGATGTGGGGACCTAAAGGCAGCTTACATATGCTGTCCACACACCTAGATCTCCAAATGCAGAAGTATTGCCCCCTTGTGAATGGTGAGGCACCTTGTTAAGGATTCTGATCTGCCTAGTGAATATATAAAATGCAATGGAGAATAAGCCAGAGTTGAAGCAAGGAGCCTCAGTCTTCTATGATCCTTTCCCTTCTATGGTACAAATAGCCCCTGAGTTATTGAAGGTCCCCCAGCAAACTTAGCATCTGTTCATTTGGGCAATGAGTAGGGGTAAGGAATTAGCTCTGAAATCTTTTTGTTTTGTTTTGTTTTGTTTTGCTTTTATTTTTTCTCTTCTTTCTTTTCATAGATCATGGGAAACAATATCTCTGAAATCTTAATATTGAAATACCAATCCTTATACTTTCTCTGTCAACTAGAGAGATAGTATTATAGTTATTAAATGATTTTAAGAGATATAGAAAAAAATGGGATAAGCAGTGACTGAATCACCAATAGTCTCAGTTCTTGTATGTCTGAGATGCCAGATACTTAAAATCCCATGAGACCAGGCACAGTGGCTCAGGCCAGTAATCCTAGAGGCCGAGGCAGGCAGATCACTTGAGGCCAGGAGTTCAAGACCAGCCTGGCAAACCTGATGAAACCCCTGTCTTAAACATTAGCCAGATGTGGGGGTGTATATCTGTAATCCCAGCTACTCGAGAGGCTTAGGCAAGAGAATCACTTGAACCCAGGAGGCAGAGGGTGCAGTGAGCTGAGATCGCACCACTGTCCTTCAGCCTAAGACTGAGAACATTCCTAAACAGGAAATCCCTAAACAGGAAATCCCTAAACAGGAAAAAAATCACACAAGTTTGTACATGGGATCCACAGGCCTCAGTACTCTATGTAACAGCAGTATTAGAAACTCAAAATTTTTAGCATTTTAAAAGTTAAATGTTTTAAAATATGACTATTGATGAAACTGCTTTTTAATAGTTCTTAAATTTATGTAACTGTTTTCAAAATGCTTTCACTGTTAACTCAGATGATCCTTAAAAGAAATCTAAGTAGGTGAAATAGATAATATTATCCTGGTTTTGCCAACAACGAAACTGAGGCTCAGAGAGTGAAATGTTCAAGTCAAAATTGAAACTCAAAGTATTCTGTCAAGTCCAGTTTCCTATGTTCTAAAATCATTGTTGATTGGGGCTTTTTTTTTTTGGTAGTGTTTAAACACTTTTTAAAATTTGGTGTATTGGAATACTATGCAGCCATCAAAAACAATGAGTTCGTGTCCTTTGTAGGGACATGGATGAACCTGGAAACCATCATTCTCAGCAAACTGACCCAAGAGCAGAAAATCAAACACCGCATGTTCTCACTCATAGGCAGGTGTTGAACAATGAGAACACATGGACACAGGGAGGGGAGCACTACACACTGGGGTCTGTTGGGGGAAAATAGAGGAGGGACAGTAGGGGGTGAGGAGTTGGGGAGAGATAGCATGGGGAGTAACGCCAGATATAGGTGATGGGGAGGAAGGCAGCAAATCACACTGCCATGTGTGTACCTATGCAACAATCTTGCATATTCTTCACATGTACCCCAAAACCTAAAATGCAATTTAAAAAAAGGAGAAAAAAAAATTTGGTGTATTAAGGGTAAGCTTTTTACTTTTAATGCTTAAGATATTTAGCATCTCTGGCAGGATTCATTTAATATTTTTGTGCATATGCTGCTGAGTTATTCAAATTTGATTGTGATAAGTTTTTGTTGAGTTACTCATAATGTGGGTTTTTCTTTCTTTAATAATCTTTTACTAGGACCACACCAGGGTGGGTGCAGATACCTCGCAGGATATCCAGCTTTTTGGCATAGGGATTCAGCCTGAGCACTGTGAGATTGACATTGCATCTGATGGAGACGTCACTCTCACTCCAAAAGAAAATGCAAGGTAAGAAAAGTTCATGGTGACTTCATGTGTCTTGTGTGCCTTATTTTCAGAAGGAGAATCCTGCCTCTTTCTGTTTGCTTCCAGCTTTATTAAAGTTAAGGGTGCACTGGGTCCTCAAGGGGCCTTGCTTTCAGATTATAGAGAGTGATTACTGTGAAGGCGTGACTATTTTCATATGTGAGTTCTGGTTCCACTTATTCCATAACTCTGAGCTTTAGAACCATGTAAAGATCAGGAGTCAGATAATGAGATTAAGTGAAAAAAGTAACTAACTAGAAAATTACAAAAAATTAGCTGGGCATGGTGGCACGTGCCTGTAATCCCAGCTACTCAGAAGGCTGAGGCAGGAGAATTGCCTGAACCCAGGAGGCGGAGGTTGCGGTGAGCCGAGATCGCGCCATTGCACTCCAGCCTGGGTGAAAAGAGTGAAACTCCATCTCCAAAAAAAAGAAAGAAAATTAGAACTCAAAAATAACATTATTTTTCTTTCATCAAACTTTACCTGACAGTCCTTTGGCAAATTAACCTTGAATTAACTAGTTACCTCCTCCACCTCCAGTGTTCTGTTTTGTTTTTAAATACCAGAAAATTGGCTAGGTGGGGTGGCTCACACCTGTAATTCCAGCACTTTGGGAGGCTGAGGCAAGAGTATCACTTAAGCCCAGGAGTTCAAGGCCAGCCTGGGCAGTATAGTGAGATACCATCTCTACAAAAAATAAATTAATTAATTAGCCAGGCATGATAGTTGATGCCTGTAGTCACAGCTACTTACAAGGCTGAGGTGGGAGGATCACTCAAGCTCAGGAGGTCGAGGCTACAGTAAGCCATGATCATGCCACGGCACTCTAGCCTGGTTACAGAGTGAGACCCTGTCTCAAAAAAAAAAAAAAAATAGAAAAATATAATGAAACCCTATGCATGGACACATCCTCCAGTTTCAAAAATGAACACCTCATAGACAATTTTGTTATTTATATGCCTTCCATATCTCCTCCTCCTTCCTCTACCTTCAAATTATTTTAAAGCAGGCCAGGAGCAGTGGCTCACACCTGTAATCCAGCACTTTGGGAGGTCGAGGTGGGCAGATTGTTTGAGTCCAGGAATTCAAGACCAGCCTGAGCAACATGGTGAAATCCCATACTCTACAAAAAGTTAGCTGGTGTGGTGGTGCACACCTCTGGTCTCAACTACTTAGGAGGATGAGGTGGGAGGATCACCTGAGCCCAGGAGGTTGAGGCTATAGTGAGCCATAATTGCACAATTGCACTCCAGCCTGGACAACCAGAGTAAAACCCTGTCTCAAAAAAAAAAATTTATTTTATTTATTTATTTTGTGACAGAGTCTCATTCTGTTGCCCCAGCTAGAGTGCAGTGGCAAGATCTCGGCCTACTGCAACCCCTGCCTTCCAGGTTCAAGCAAACCTCCTGCCTCAGCCTCCCAAGTAGCTGGGATTATAGGCACTCACTACCACCCCCCAATAGGGGGAAAAATACTTTAAAGCAGATTCCAGACTTTATAACATTGTATCTATAAATATCTCAGTATGTCTCTCTAAAAGATGAAGATTCTTAAAAATAGTTTCAATATCACCAGACCTAAAATAACAGTAATTCCTTACTAACTATCACATAGCCAGCCAGTGTTCAGATTTCCCCAGTTGTCTCATCAGCTTTCTTTTTCAGCTGTTTCTTGAAATTAGGATCCAGATCAGACCCTACCATGGTTTTGCAGTATTCCTCTTTAGATCTCTTTTACCAAATGGGTTTCCTCTTTCTCTCTTCTCTCTCTCTCTGTTTGTCTCTGTCTCTCTGCCTTTCTCTCTTCTTTGTATTTTATTTGCCGAAGTTATCTCATTGTTAATCCCAGAGGTTCCCACAGTCAGGATTTTGCTCACTGCATCCCATGGCGTCATTTCGTATCCTCTGTTCTTCTCTGTATTTTGTAAATTGGCATTTAAATGTAGAAACTTCATCAGGTTCAGTTCAAATTTTGACAAGAATAGCCATGGATGGTGCTAGGGTGCTGGGTGGCTATGGGTAGTGCTTTCTGTCTCCATCAGGAGTGCATCGTGTCAGGTTATCACTCTCTGAGGGATGTTGGCAGCCCTTGGTCCTCATAGGTCAGATTGTGTGTTTTCATAGTGGTTACACGTTCTGCTCTTCCTGCTTTAAGTAGTAGTTGGAAGGCATTTATTATTAAGAGAAAGCTCCCTGGTTACCTCTTTGGCTGCCAGGGCAGGGTCTTATGCTCCCTCCCGTTGACCTGGTATTTTCCCTCGTGTTCTCTCAGGTCCTGTGTGAACGGCGCCCTTGTGTGCAGTACTACCCAGCTGTGGCATGGTGACCGAATTCTATGGGGAAATAATCACTTTTTTAGGTAATGTCTTTGTGTTCTGTGATATATTTTCTTATACTTTTTTTCTGTTATCTATTTAAGTGTAAAACAAGTTGATTTTCTCTAACGGTGAAAAACCCCACAGAATAAACTTACCTAAGAGGAAGCGTCGAGATTGGTTGAAAGACTTTGAGAAAGAAACGGGTCCACCGGAGCATGACCTGGATGCAGCCAGTGAGGCTTCCTCTGAACCAGACTATAACTATGAATTTGCACAGATGGAAGTTATCATGAAAACTCTGAATAGTAATGGTAAGACCCACACTCCGTAGTCCAGTGTCTGGGGTATTTCCTCATCTCACACCATTTAGTGAGGGATAAGCAGGCCTAAAGTGTCATTCCATTCCACATTTAAACACGTAAAACTGCTCATTTCTTTAAAAGGCCATCAGTGAATGACTAATGACAAGATTTGGAGGAGATGTTCTTCTCCCTCAGTTACAACCAGGATATGGATTGTCCCATTTTTGAGACCTCTTCTTCCCAAGCCAATTGTGGTAACGTTTCCACAGGCCTAGAGTACTGAATGATTTTGACAGAATTCCTTACCAAATTTCTCATTATGGAACTTGTCATATCTGAATCCTTGAGAATGTGAACATTTCCAAGAGAATATAAATTCAGGAATTTCAAATAGAATGTAATGGAAAGATGAAAGTCATAGCATTTTAGTATAAACTCAATTGGAAATTTTACCCCAAAGATACTTATTTAATAAGCCCAGATCACTTTTACAAAAATGATAGTGAAAATAAATTCAGGAATTTCAAGTAGAATCTAATGGAAAGATGAAAGTCATAGCATTTTAGTGTAAACTCAGTTGGAGATTTTACCCCAAAGATACTTATTTAATAAGCCCAAATCACTTTTACAAAAATAATAGTGAAAATGAAATGTTTTATAGCCTCTTTATTGGACTTATACTCCAAGTTTCACATCTAAAAGTCCGTGTTCCTTCACATTTTCTTTCTTATTCTGTGTCTATACACACCTGCCTGCGTTAAATAAAATACATGCCAAATTCTTTCCTTTTTTGCTGTTTTATAAATCAGCCTTTTCTTTTCCTATCTCCCTGTCTCTTAATTGCTAGACTTGATGACTGAGACTTAGAAGCCAGACAGCAGTGTTCTCCTGTTACCAGGCCCAAGATGATATTTCTGGGACTAGAAGGATTTTATGAGGATAAAACTGAGGCTGCGTTTAGGGGCACCTGAGAAGATAGTTTGTAGGCTCAGTCCAACCTCCCCTTCCCATTCATCTGATCTTGCGGCACCTGAGGTTTCCCATCTTGAACCAGGGTGGACCTCCAGGGCCCGGAGGACCCTAAGACAGGCAGCCTCTACCCAGCAGGGGGCTTGGAAAGCATTTTGTTTTTCACAGTTGAGCCTCTTCCCTTAAATATTGGCTTTCTCACTTTGCTTTTTGAATAAGCCTATCTAGGAAGAATTTGAGCATAGAGAATTTTGGCATATGTGCTGCCAAGGCGAGCACATGGTGAGATGATTATCAGTCAGATCTCTGGCACATCAGATTGGAGATTCTGTTGCAGGAATAAAGCTTTTGGTCTTTTCATTGATTTCTGTTTATGAAGTTTTTGCCTCAGGAAGCCTCTTTTTTTATTTATGAAAATGAAATACAGGACCAGGCACTGTGACTCGAGCCTGTAATCTCAGCACTTTGGGAGGCCAAGGCAGGCGAATCACCTCAGGTCAGGAATTCAAGACCAGTCTGACCAACATGGCAAAACCCTGTCTCTACTACAAATAGAAAAAGTAGCTGGGTGTGGTGGCACATGCCTGTAATCCCCGCACTTTGGGAGGCCAAGAGAGGCAGATCGCTTGAGGCCAAGACTTGAAGACCAGCCTGGGCAACATAGTGAAACCATCTCTGCTAAAAATACAGAAATTACCCATGCATAGTCGTGTGCCACCTGTAATCCCAGCACTTTGGGAGGCTTAGATGGGCAGATTACTTGAGACCAGGAGTTTGAGACCACCCTGGCTAACATGGCGAAACCCCATCTCTACTAAAAATACAAAAATTACCCAGGTGGCGCATGCCTGTAATCCTAGCTACTTGGGAGGCTGAGGTATGAGAATCACTTGAACCTGAGAGGTAGAGGTTGCAGTGAGCTGAGATCACACCACTGCACTACAGCCTGGGCAACAGAGCCAGAGTCTGTCTCAAAAAAGAAAGGAGTGGAGAGGGGGAGGGAAAGGAAGAGGGAGAGGGAGGAGAGAGAGAGAAGAACAAGAGGTGGAGGAGAAGGAGGAAGGAAGGAAGGAGAAAAAGAAGGAAAGAAAGAGAAAAGAGAAAGAAAAGAAAGAAAGAAAGGAAAAAGAGAAAGAAAAGAAAGAAAGAAAAGAAAGAAAGAAAAGACAGAAGGAAGAAAAGGCCAGAATATGAAAAACAAGTGTGATGTATTTATATGAAGAGTATAGAGGCCAGGTGCAGTAGCTCTTGCCTGTAATCCCAGCACTTTTGGAGGCTGAGGCGGGTGGATCACCTTAGGTCAGGAGTTCAAGACCACCCTGGCCAACATGGTGAAACCCCATCTCTACTAAAAATACAAAAGAAAATTAGCCAGGCATGGTGGCAAGTGCTTGTAATCCAAGCTACTTGGGAGGCTAAGGCAGGAGAATCACTTGAACCAAGGAGGTGGAGATTGCAGTGAGCCAACATCATGCCATTGCACTCCAGCCTGGGCAAAAAGCAAAACTCTGCTCAAAAAAATATATATATATAAATATAGAACCACAAAGAAAAAATGGGGAAAAAAACTTTATGAGAAAAGTTTGTCAATTTCTGCCTTTAAACAGCAAGAGTAGGGTGTTAAGATTAGCAGGGTGTTAATTTTAGCCCTGGTATAGGGTGGACCATAGCTAGAAATCAAGCTTCACTCTACTCTCCCACTTCTCCACCAGTTGGGAGGAATCCCAAACATTCCAAAGTGATGTTCAGACATCAGAATCACATTAATGGGTCATTTAACAACCTGACTGAGCAGCAAGTCTTCTGTGAGTGATCTTTTGGAAGCCTGAGTGGATACACGGTGTGCAGGAGGATGTAGACTCCAAACTCCAGGTGGAGGAACTCCCGTTGGAGAGAGCTCATTGCTTCAGCTGATGTCACAGATCTAGATGTCTCTGGTTGCTAACTCTGCAGAGTTTACAGGTGGTATCAGCTTAGTCATGTATCCATCCCAGACCATAGGTTTCTTATTTTAATCAGTTACTATCTTCTTATATATAAATTAACTCCTTGAATAACCAATGAGTATTTAGTAAGCATTTGTTAATTCCTTTGATCCTCTCAGCCAAACCAATAGTCATCAGGGATCTGATGCACGGTGTTAACATGAGTTACTCTTTGTATCCCAGATCAGGCCTTGCTCTCCAGTGTTGATTTTATCCATATAGAAGTCATGTTTATGGCTGGGTGCAGTGGCTCACACCTATAATGCCAGCACTTTGGGAGACGGAGGTGGACTGATCACTTGAGGTCAGGAGTTCAAGACCAGTTGGGGATCAGAGGTGAAGCAAAAACCCAGCGCCGACACCTCCACCAGAGCTGTGTGTGGTGAGGGCAGATCTAGGTGTTCCAGGAATGAGGCTTATAAGACCTACAAGACAATATGGTGAAACCCAGTCTCTCTTAAAAATACAAAAATTTAGCTGGGCATAGTGATGCATGTCTGTAGTCCCAGCTATTTGGGAGGCTAAGACAGGAATATTGCCTGAACCCAGCAAGACTTCATCTTAAAAAAAAAATTGTTTCCCCCTACCCCACCCTTTACCCAGTTCCAGTGGAGCTTCCCTCTGGAACATATGCACAGTCTCTGATGCAAGTGCTGACATGCTGGTGGCTGGACGGTGTTCACTGCGATTCCTCTCTACTGCTAGGTGGCTTCCCGATAATAAGCCTGTCTGCCTGGTGGTCATCCCCTTGGTGGTCTTATTTGAAGATCCTCTTCCCTCTCTTGTGGTTTCAGACGAAGCTCCTCCACAAACACTGGGATAAAGGTTTTTAACCGATTGGCATTGGCATGAGGGAGCTTGGCTGGTTTTTAGCATTGCTGCTGATTGATGCTTATGCTCCATGCTTTGGTAAAAATCTAACTAACATGATTGGGAAGAAGCTGGAGTTTTCTGGCTGATGAAGGTGCTCTGTATTCTTCATTGGGAATGTTCCTTTTCAATTACAGGCATCCCCCCACCAACACACACACACACACACACACGCACACACACACACACACACACACACACCCCATGTCCCAGTTCCATTTGCCTCCCAGATTTTGGTTAAAATCTAACAGCAGCTATTCTTCTCTATGGTTAAAACAGCACTGAAAAGTATTATGGTATTATTACTGCTGTTATTGATGGCTTCATTGCTGTTGACAGCAGAGCAATTCAGGTCAGTGGTACTTCCAGGCATATATTCACCTACATTATCCCAGTAGTAGGTTAGAATAATGTATTTTTGAGTTTCTAGAGTAAATTCATTTCATTTAAATTAAAGCCCAATTCATTTAAATTAAAAGTAAAAAGAAGCCTAGTGTCTGTGGACAATAATGCCTTCTTCCCAAGGGTTAGAATAGGAATCAAACAAAATAGGAATCATCTCTTTTTTCAATGTCAATGGCAGCTCTAAAGAAAAAGCAACTTTGCCAAGTGTGATGTCACTCTCCTGTAGTCCCAGCACTTTGGAAGGCCGAAGTAGGAGGATTGCTTGAGGCCAGGAGTTCGAGACCAGCCTGGGTAACATAGTGAGACTTCATCTCTACAAAAAATTGGGAGAAAGAGTTCTTTTTTTTCTCCAAAGACCTATTTCCCTTCAAGTTAGTATTTTAGACATTTTGGTGCGAATTAATTCTAATTCTCTTTCTCATATAATTACCCCCCTACCAGCACCACTACCAGTGCCATTTTCTCTTTTCCATTCTTGCAATGTTGGGTCAGTTTGAGCTCATTGCATAGTTATCTACTAAGTAAAGAAAAAACTCATGAGAACAAGAAAATGCTATGCCCAAAGTAAATGTGGTCCTTTCTTTCTAAAATTCTTAACCTCTTTGAGATCTTGGCTTTGGCTACCTGGCTTACTCAGTTTTAAAACAGTTCATCCAAGAAAAGGAAAGTGATGGGAAAAATAAACCTGTGGGCAATCTCTTGACGTTTGATTGGTATTTTGAGAAACGGCTGAATAATCTTTGGATTCTGTCCTGGGCCACATCATAGAGTCAGATCGACTTGCTGATTTGGATGGTCTATTTTAAAATACGGTCTGTGTAGGAGTTAAGACTTGAAACCGATTAATCTATTTAAAAAGACAATGCCATCAAAGATGTCTGTGAGAAAGCTGTTTCCAGACTAATGTTGGGGATCCGAGGCAAAACAAAAACCCAGCCCCTAAGCCTCCACCAGAGCTGTGTGTGGTGAGGGCAGATCTGGGCGTTCCAGATCTGGGGCTTACAGGACTCTACTCTGGGAGTCTCAGAGGAAGGATGCATTGAGCTGCATCCTCTTCTGTATCTGCACTTCGATTCGTGGCCACTCATCCTTCCTGGTGTGTAGTGTTAGTGCTGTGTCATGACAGCGACTGGTGTGGTTTTAAACAGCCTCACTCACGTGGCCTGTGTCAGCATGGAACCTTGGGGTGAGATCCCCTCTGTCTCAGTTATTTGGGGTCATGTGTGTTTCTGCACTACTGACTAACAATGGAAATGTGGATTATATATTCTATTCAGTATCTCGTAGCAAAAACCCTATAATGCATTTTTATAAAATGATGCGTTTTCCAGTTTCTGTGGAAAAGATTTATAAACACTAAGTTAGGACAGTTGGGCTCTAAATATAAATTTATGGCAAGTACCATAGCACCCTGCCCTTTCTTTTTTAAACCCAGAGCCTATATACTGTTTGAGAAATATGTGTATGTATTTTTTAATTCTGAAAGAACTTTACTTCTCTAGAGCTTACATTTAAAATGTCTTCAGACGCCCTCAAAAAATGTTACCGTATTTCTCGTATTTATTTATTTTTAGCAGTAGTAGGACTTTGTCAGCAGTTCTGATGCTCAGGAATACATAGATTGTTACTCAGTAAATAATGTTTTACCCACCCAGGATCTACCTTGGCATAAGATTTTTTGTTCGATTTTTGGTTTGGGTTTTTTTTTTTTCCCCCAGTTTACTTTTTTTTAAATTAATTAATTTATTTTTTTTTGAGATGGAGTCTCACTCTGTCACCTGGGCTGGAGTGTAGTGGCGCGATCTCAGCTCACTGCAGCCTCTGCCTCCAGGTTCAAGTGATTCTCCTGCCTCACCCACCCAAGTAGCTGGGACTACAGGTATGCGCCACCATACACAGCTAATTTTTGTATTTTTAATAGAGACAGGTTTCATCATGTTGGCCAAGCTGGTCTTGATCTCCTTACCACAAGTGATTGCCCACCTCAGCCTCCCAAAGTGTGAGTCTGAGCCACCACACTCAGTCCCCAGTTTATTCTCCATCAGCTTTTTAAATGAGATGTTTTAGGGATTCTTATATCAGTACTCTATGAAGAACTTTTTTCTTTGAAAAAAATGCTCTATTTTAGAATTTTATATCAACAAAACAGTATCATTTTTAGAAGTATCATTCTTTACAGAATACTAAATGTAGGCAAAACACTGGGGGTAAGAATACCACATCAGTTTATTACCAAGTGAATGTCCTACCCCAGCCAATTGGTTAATTAGTTATCTGAGTTCAAAACCTGACCCTGTCACTTTGTAGCTACGTGAGGTAGATAAGCTATTTCGCCTTTCTGAGCCCCATTATTTCCTTATTTTTAAAATCGGGGTGATATCCACACTTAGGCTTGTTGCAAAGCTTTCATGAGGTGATGCATGCAAAGCAGGTGGAGCCTCTACCTGAGATGTAGCCAGGAGCTAGTAGAGTTATTGTTGCCGTTGTGGTTGTCATTTTTATTAAAACAACTCACCTGTACTGAGCTTTTCTTGCAATTTAAAAAAAAAATTATTTCTCTTGGTTTTGAATTATTTTTGGAAGCTAACATGTTATCTTTTTCTCTTAATACTAATATAGAAAATTAGTACAATTTACATGTGTATTTTACAAGTTGATAAGATATCTTGGAAAAGTCAGTCAATAGCTATCATCAGATAATATAAAATTTCCTCCTGAGTCACTAATTTTCAGCTTCTATTCTGGAAATTAAACTGAGTGCCAGTGTGTGGGAACAGCATAAATAGCACTGAATAGCAGGCAAATGTACAAGGAGGGACTCATGTCCCAGGCTGGTCTGAGAACGCATCTCTCCGGGATGTACTTCTGGGAAATATTGACTGTGATGATGATTTTCTTGTTCTACTAGGAGATTGTCTAACATTCTGCTTCCCTACACTGTCCTCACTTAGTCATGTCAGTAACTTTCTCCTTTTGTACCTGTGGCTAGAGCCTTGATCTTCGCACAGTATCAAGCTCATTGGTCATTACCAAGTTAATGTCCTGCCCAGCCCGTTAGCATTTCAAAGTCTAGTCTTGCCTACACCACAACCATCAGGGCGGCTCACTGGAACAAGATCTGTTAGTATGTCTATACCTTTTCACCCATGTGCATTGTAGTGAGCACTGTATTTGTACACGTGAAATGTTAGAAAGAGATTTTTATTATTTTTGCAAGTAAATTGTCCTTTTAGATATTAGTCTGAGAAATAGCCAGACCATATCCTTAACCAATATTTTCAAACACATACTGTGATCTCTAAGTTTCCTCCCACCTTAGAGAAATTCAAGACTAATAAGATTTGTAATGAAAGTCATAAATCTTTGTCATATACCAAAAGCGATATTAAATGGACATAGAAATGAATGACCATAAAGAAAGATGAAATCTTATATGCTTCTGTGTTCGGAGTCGTCCTAGATTTCGTGAAGTTTTTCTTCACGATCCCAGTGGCCAGGACCGCATTCCCCTCTCTTCCCCCATCTGCTGGTAGTAGATTAGTGATTTATCTAAACATTAGGATGAGCTCATCAAATTGAAGAAAGTAACACAGAGAATGTGGAGAACGTACATATATAGCATTTACTGCAGTGCCAATAACAAGGAATTGGAGAGGATTTCACTGATTAGGCCTCTCACAGAAAGCATACTGACTGGCTAGATTCTGGAGCAGAAAAGGGTTCTTGCTAGAGGAAGTCCCCGCAGGCTGTAGTGCCTGGTATGAATGCTTGTCTTAGCCGCCACTAAGACACCTTGCCTTGTCTCTTGGCTCACTAGACCCAGTTCAAAATGTGGTTCAGGTCCTGGAGAAACAATACCTAGAAGAAAAGAGAAGTGCCCTAGAGGAGCAGCGGCTCATGTATGAGCGGGAACTGGAGCAACTCCGCCAGCAGCTCTCCCCCGAGAGGCAGCCGCAGAGCAGCGGCCCCGACCGCCTGGCCTACAGCAGCCAGACAGCACAGCAGAAGGTGACCCAGTGGGCAGAGGAGAGGTAAGAACTGCAACTTGGGCAGCCCAGAATCAAGGCCCCAAGGCCATGGGGCTTTGAGGGAGGGGGTTGTGAGATGTGTCAGGGACAAACCTAGCGGAGAACTCTTATTCCCACATCTGACTTACTGGCAATTAGCTTTTTCTTTCACCGTTACTGTCTACTATGATGTCAGCTGTTAAGGGTCCCTCCTACCCCCACAACCCTTTAGCCTTCAGTAAAAATGATGCCAAGTTGCAAGGCTTAGACAGGCAGGTATGGAAGTTTAGAAAGTTTGAAGAATTTCTGTAAACACAAAAGCATCTTTTCTTATTTCTTGTTTCTCATACTTTTGAATCTATTTAAATACAACTTCAGTGCTGATTAATCTACTCAATGTGAATGTTTAAGATTTATGGCTGGGTGCAGTGGCTCACACCTGTAATCCTAGCACTTTGGGAGGCTGAAGCGGGAGGATCACTTCAGCACAGGAGTCTGAAACTACCCTAGGCAACATAGACCTTGTCTCTACAAAAGATAAAAATGACCCAGACACAGTGGTGCATGTCTATAAGGTCACTGGGAAGATCGCTTGAGCCCAGGAGTTTAAGACCAGCCTGGGCAACATAGTGAGACCTCATCTCTACAAAAAAATAAAAAATTATCCAGGCATGATGACACATGCCTGTAATCCCAGCTACTTGGGAGGCTAAGGTGGGAAGGTCACTTGAGCCCCAGAGATAAAGGCTTCAGTGAGCTGTGATCATGCCACTGTGATCCAGCCTGGGTGACAGAGAAAGAACCTGACCCAGGCTGTATCAGGTGAGGTGGCTCACACCTGTAATCCCAGCACTTTGGGAGGCTGAGGTGGATGGATTGCCTCAGGGCAGGAGTTCAAGACCAGCCTGGCCAACATGGTGAAACCCCGTCTCTACTGAAAATAGAGAAAAAAAAATCAGCCAGGTGTGGTAGCAGGCACCTGTAATCCTAGCTACTCAGGAGGCCAAGGCTGGAGAATCACTTGAACCCGGGAGGCAGAGGTTGCAGTAAACTGAGATCATGCCATCACACTCCAGACTGGGCAACAAGAGCGAGACTTCTTCATTTCAAAAGAAAAAAAAAAGATTTATGACTTTAAAATATTTATATCAGAACTCTCAAAGGAGGGAGTGGTGGAGGAAATGGTAATCGTAATAATCTCTACCACCACAATAAGGACAACAGGTTGTTTATTGCAGACTTCTGTTGTGTTCTTGTCATAGTCCAGGCATTTTATTTAACATCCCAGCAGCTCTACACCTTAGGAACTATTATCTCTGTCTCATAGGTCAGGCAATCAGTTTAAATATCCTGCTTTAATCAACCATCTAGTAAGTGAAGAAGCCAGAGTTTGAATCCAGGTCTCTCTGCAGTCCCCTAATAACACCTGTGTTATGATAATAATTAACAGTAGTAGAAAAAGCAGCACCTAACATCTGTAGATCATTTATACCATGTCCCAGGTACTAATTGCTGTTCCTGTATTCCTCTTATCCTCACAACTGCTACTACCTTTACACATAAGGAAACTGAGGCCGAGATCATACAAAAAATTAGCTGGGCATGGTGGTGCGTGCCTGTAGTCCCAGCTACTCGGGAGACTGAGGCAGGAGAATTGCTTGAACCCAGGAGGCGGAGGTTGTGGTGAGCCGATATCACACCATTGCACTCCAGCTTGGGTAACAACAGCGAAACTCCATCTCAAAAAAAAAAAAAAACCTGTCAGTAATATGCTAACTACCCAGGTAATGAAATAATCTGTACATCAAACCCCCAAGTCATGAATTTACCTATATAACAAACCTGCACATATACCCCTGAACCTAAAATGAAAGTCAAAATATTTACATTTTTTTTAAAGTATGTGGTTAAAGAAGGTGGTTTGCTTTTAATCTTAGTGTTTTTTGGTTAAATAGTTAAAAAATACTTTTTTTTTCATTTCCCTTAATTCCAGATTGATTTTCTTTGGGGCTTAAATTCTTAAAAAAAAAAAAAAAAAAAAAAAAACTATAGAAGCCAGGTATGGTGGCACATGCCTCTAGTCTTGGCTGCTCCAGAGGCTGAGACAGGAGGATCACTTGAGCCCAGGAGTTTCAAGCTGTAGTGCACTGTGAGCATGCCTCTGAATAGCCGCTGCACTCCAGCCTGGGAAACATAGGGAGACCCTATCTCCAAGAAAGAGAGAAAAAGAGAGATAGAAGAAAAGAAAGAGAAAGGGAGGGAGAGAAAGAAGGAAGGAAGGAAGGAAGGAAGAAAAAAAAAAGACGAGATATTTTGGGATTGTCTTTCAAAGACATAAGAATAGTTACGTTATTGATTTTTGTCAGGTTTCACTGGATAAAATTAAGATGTCATTAATTGTATGTCGTTATATAAGAAGCTAGACCTCTTACCTAAGTACATGTTGATGGGTTGTGAAATAATGGACTCTTACCTACATGAATGTTGATGGGTTGAGAATCAAGTGTACTTAAACACTCATAAGAATCACAAAGAAAGCTACAGATATCATTTATTCTCTTTGTACACTTAGAATGTAGTATGAAACAAGATATAAACTTGTGAAAACTTAAGTCATAATAGTAAATTAAAGAACAGTTTTATTCAACAATAGGAAATGTTACAATTATATATTAATAGTTATTTGTGTGCATTCTATCTCCTACCCTGGAAAATAACTTTCAGGGGACAGGGAATCCATTTCATTTATTGAAGTATCGCTATTGCCTAGAATGATGTGGTCACCTGGTAGGTATCTAGTAAATATCATATGCATTGATTGTGTGAATGTGTTGAGTGACAAGCAAGCATGTAATCACCAGGCGGGCAGACTGCACAGTAAGCTTGTTGGTTGTTCAGTAGAAGATGACATCTCAGTGAAGCTGAGTCTTCTACAGAGATTTTCAGGGAGATGGAAGGATTTCAAGTGCATTTGAGAGGCAGAGTTTGATCAGCAGAGAAAAAGCAGAAGGACATTTTGGATGGGTGGATTGACTTGAACAGATGGGAAGCAATGGAGGACAATAAGACGTATTTGGGAGACTGCAAAAGAACTGTTTTGTATAGTCTAGAACAAGGGTCCCCAGCCCTTGGACCACAGACTGGTACAGGTCCGTGGTCCAGGCTGCACAGCAGGAGGTGAGTGGTGGGCCAGCAAGCGAAGCTTTGTCTGTGTTTACGGCCACTCCTCTTCGTTGGCATCACCACATGAGCTCCACCTCCTGTCAGATCAGCAGTGGCACTGGATTCTCAGGGGAACGTGAACCCTATTATGAACTGTGTACATGTGAGGGATCTAGGTTGCCTGTTCCTTAAAAGAGTCTAAAGCCGGATGATCTGTCACCGTCTCCCGTCACCCCCAGATGGGACTGTCCAGTTGCAGGAAAACAAGCTCAGGGCTCTCACCGATTCTATGTTTTAGTGAATTGTATAATTATTTCATCATATATTACAATATAATAACAGAAATAAAGTGTGCAATAAATGTAATGCACCTGAATCATCCGAAAACTCTCCCTCTCCCCAATATCGGTCCATGGAATAGCTGTCTTTCATGAAACTAGTCCCTGCTGCCAAAAAGTTTGGGGACCACTGTCTAGAAGGTAATTTATGGAAGAGTAGGGAAAATTAAGCTCAAAACTAAAAGATAGGGGTTGTGGGAGGCCACAGACTCGGAGTTTGGGATTTATTTTATGGGAGAAGAGGAGCCCTGCAAGGCCTTGAGCCGAGGAATGACCTAAGGAAGGCAGGGCTTGATAAGGACTGTCTTGTAGTGGAGCAAGAAGAGCCTTGGTGCTGTCACATGATTGGGAAGGGTGTGAGGGACCTGAGCCAGGAATGTGATAAAACACACAGAGAGAGACTTAGGAGATGCTTCAAAGGAAGAATCAATTTTTTGGACATTGTAGAAAAGGGAAGAGACTGAGCCAACTGAACAAAGCTAAGCATGGGTGACTGGAAAAATGATGTCACCTTTTTCTTTCTCTCTTTCTTTTCTCTTCTTTTTTAAAGAAAGATGAGGTCTTGCTATGTTGCCCAGGTTTTGAACTCCTGGCCTCAAGCAGTCCTCCCAGCTTGGCCTCCCAAAGTGTTGGGTTTACAGGCATGAGCCACTGCTCTCAGCTGGTAATACTATTTTAAGAAACTGTTTTCTTTACATTAGTATCCTCACAGCATGCGTCCTCTGTCATTTCTAAGGTGATAGGTGTGGAGTAGAGATTTGGATGCTTTGAACTCATTATTTTTCTATGATGTAAGAGCTTCCTGAGGTGTATAAATGGTGGAAAAGAGAAGTTATATTTGGCACAGAGTGATCACTAGATGGAGTGACTTTTGAACCCAGATTGACATGTGAAATCCAGAAGCACTCTTTTCTTTATTCATTGGGTCTTTTGTGAATATCCTATGATGGGCCATGCACTTGGCCAGGAACTAGTGTAGTGCAAGCAAAAAAAGACATGAGTCCTGCCCCAGGGCACTTACAGCCTCTAGTAGGAGGCAGATATTACACAAATAATTATACAAGTAAAAATGAAAAGTTCTAAGTATGGCAAATGCTGTGGAGGCTAAAGGCATGGGGCTGAGAGAACATACAAGAGGGTTTTGACCAAGTCGGGATATTAGAGCTTTTTATCAACAAGTAGTATTGTATAGAGAATTGAAAGAAAAAAAAAGAATTTCTGCTACTGCAGAACTACCTTACTATGGCATGACTTTTACCAATTGCGGAAGTCATGAAAAATACTTTCTTCTGACTCCAGGTTTCTCTCATCTGCCAACCCTTCCTGGCCCCACCACCCTTCCATAGCACACACAAGTCGTAAGCATCGTTTGTTTTTCCCAAAGATTCCCGGGTTGGTTCTTTGCATCCTCGTATCACAGTCTGATCGTTTTCAAATGTTACATAATTTTAAATGTGATTTTCAGTTAAGTCACTCAACAGTTTGCTCCCCATCAAGGAATGCCAGATATAGGTGAAGGGGAGGAAGGCAGCAAATCACACTGCCATGTGTGTACCTATGCAACAATCTTGCATGTTCTTCACATGTACCCCAAAACCTAAAATGCAATAAAAAAAATGTGCTCCCCATCAGTAGTTCTCAACAGATGGCCCATCTGTGGACAGGAGGGAAGAATTAGAGGTCGTCTGGTAAAATAGTTTTAAAAACACTGCCCGAGAGGAGTTTCCTACCATTTTCTGATAAGATGCTCTCTTAGAAACAGGATTGCAGTTTTCTTAGATTTTCTCGTTTCGTCTTCTGTGACACTGCAGGGATGAACTCTTCCGACAAAGCCTGGCAAAGCTGCGAGAGCAGCTGGTGAAAGCTAACACCTTGGTGAGGGAAGCAAACTTCCTGGCTGAGGAAATGCGCACACTCACCGATTACCAGGTGACTCTTCAGATCCCTGCTGCAAACCTCAGTGCCAATAGGAAGGTAAGAATGTCCTTCAAGTGAGACAGCAGGATGCACAGTAGTCAATATTGTAAAATAGGACCTCACACTGAAACCCCAGAAACGTTCCTGAGGACATCCTCATGCCAGCCAGAGGTGTTCATTTTTTTCAAGACATTCTTTATACACCTCATTGAGTATGAATGCTATTTAAATGATGTTCTTAGATATGTAATAAGCAGAATATGCAGAATTTTAGTGGCTGAAGGACTTCCTAATTTATGTGCCTTCTTTAAAACAATTAAACTAGAAACACATATTTTTCTTGCTTTTTTTTTTCATTAAATGCCCCTTTCTGAAATGGGGGATATATATAAGCTATAGTACCTTCTTTTCTTTTTTTTTTGAGACCCAGTCTCGCTCTGTCACCCAGGCTAGAGTGCAATGGCACATCTCAGCTTACTACATCCTCTGCCTCCCGGCTTCAAGCAATTCTCCTACCTTAACCTCCCTAGTAGCTGGGATTACAGGCATGTGTCACCGCACCTGGCTAATTTTTGTATTTTTAGTAAACACAGGGTTTTGCCGTGTAGGCCAGACTGGTTTAAGTGATCCACCTGCTTGGCCTCCCAAAGAGCTAGGATTACAGGCGTGAGCCACTGTGTGCGGCCAGCTATGGTACCTTTTTAAGGGTGAATTCCACAAGAAAGGAAGACTTTTTATAATACCTGGCTTCAAATACCCAGAACTCTGCAGGCATTCAGGAGCTTCCTGTCATTTCACTTCCTCTCATTCACTTTGAAGAATTTTTCCTGTAGGGAAAAACTTGGAAGAAAATTGTTTTTCATTTTTGTTTGTTTGTTTGTTTGAGACAGAGATTCTCTTTCTGCCCAGGCTGGAGTGCAGTGGCAGGATCTTAGCTCACCACAACCTCTGCCTCCCTGATTCAAGTGATTCTGCCTCAGCCTCCCAAGTAGTTGGGATTACAGGCATGCACCACCATTCCCGGCTAATTTTGTATTTTTAGTAGAGGCGGGGTTTCACCATGTTGGCCAGGCTGGTCTCGAACTCCTGACTTTAGGTGGTCCACCTGCCTCAGCCTCCCAAAGTGCTAGGATTACAGGCATAAGCCACCATGCCTAGCGAGAAAATTTTTTTTTCTGTGACTCAGAAAGAAAGAAAACTAAATTTAAAAAAAGAAAGAAGGTTACTTTTCATCCATTCATTTCCTTTCAGCAAGCAACCTAGAAAATGAGTCGGGGGTATCTTATCAGTCTTGCTGGGTTTTAATCTTTTGATCTAGTAGTTCCACTTTGAGAAATTTATTCTAAGCCCATAGTCATAGAAGTGTCCATAAAGCTTTATATACAAGGATGCTTATCATAGTGGACTTTATAATAGCAAAAAACATGAAACAGCAATGATGTTGAACAATAGAATAATTAGTCAAATGTGTAGTAAATGCATATGCTATGGCTACTGCTATGTTGCCATTAAAAAATCATGATTATGGCTGGGCCTGGTGGCTTATGCCTGTAATCCTAGCACTTTGGCAGGCCAAGGTGGGCGGATTGCTTGAGCGCAGGCATTCGAGACCAGCCTGGGCAACATGACGAAACCCCATTTATACAAAAAATACCAAAAAATAATAATAATAGCCAGCCATGTTGTCACATGACTGTAGTCCCAGCTACTTGGGAGTCTAAGGTGAGACGATTGCTTGAGCCTAGGAAGTTGAGGCTGCAGTGAGCCAGGCTCATGCCACTATACTCCAGCTTGGGTGACAGAGCAAGACCCTACCTCAAAAAAAAAAAGACATGCTTATGAAGAATATTAAATAATACAAGAAAAGTGATCACGGTGTCAAAACTCATGAGAGGATTGGGGTGTGAAATTATACTTTTGTTTGGTGTTGATTGTGATAAAAATTAAAAAGTGTGCATGAGTGTAAATAGAAGATAGGAAACAAACAAGACTAGCTCCTAAGTGGTAGAATTTTATCTTCTTTTGTATACTTTCATGTATTTTGCAAACTTACTCTGTTACTGTTGTGTATATATTGCTTTAGCATTTAGCAATCGAAAAAGGAGTTATAATAGTGTTTGTTTTGTGTATCTTGCTTCTGCAGAGAGGTGCAATAGTGAGTGAGCCAGCTATCCAAGTGAGGAGGAAAGGAAAGAGCACCCAAGTGTGGACCATTGAGAAGCTGGAGAATAAATTAATTGATATGAGAGACCTTTACCAAGAATGGAAGGAAAAAGTTCCTGAGGTAAAAGAGACAAAATGTCAAGGAGATTTGGTTATGTTAAAAACAGAGAATATGGGCCGAGAGTGATGGCTCATGCCTGTAATCCTAAAACTTTGGAAAGCCGAGGTGGGCGGATCACCTGAGGTCAAGAGTTCGAGACCAGCCTGGCCAACATAGTGAAACCCTGTCTCTACTAAAAATACAAAAATTAGCCAGGCATGGTGGCAGGAGTCTGTAATCCCAGCTACTAGGAGGCTGAGGTAGGAGAATCGTTTGAACCCGAGAGGCAGTGAAGGTTGCAGTGAGCCGAGATAGCACCACTGCACTCCAGCCTGGGCGACAGAGAGAAACTGTCTCAAAAAGAAATTAAAAATTTAAAAATAAACAGAGACTATAAGTGATTTAAGCATCACACACACACACACACACAAGTGCTGCTGATATATTAGGAAAATAAAGTACAAGTGATTTTGAAAGAAGTGCTAAGTTGGATCAGCAATATAACATGTGATCCCCACACAGATGGGAACTAGATGAAGAAAACATATAGTAGATTCTTATTTGGCTTCACGTTTACTACATTTCAAGTGAAAAGAAGTAGAATGAAGTAAATGTATGCCATTTTGTCAGTGCTGTGAAAAATCAGCTTGGCTGGAGCCAGTGTGGATTTTGCATTCATTGATGTGTGTTCATGCACACCTAGCTGTGATCGTGGCTGGATAACTAAGGGTAATTTTAGCTTGCATAATCCATTGTTTGGACACTAGCAGTAGAAAAGAAGACTTGGCAAAGGAGGTGAAATGAAAAAGCTGCCGATGAGGTGAATAGGGAAGACAAGGCAGGAACTGAAGAGGAATCCTCTGCACAGGCATCACTTAGCTCCCCAACAAACAGGCCCCTCCCACAGGCGAATAGTTTTTCTTCTTCTTTTTCTTCTTTTTTAATGGATACAGAGTCTTGCTCTGTCACCCAAACTGGAGTGGTGTGATCTCAGCTCACTGAAACCTCCATCTCCTGGGTTCAAGCAAAGCAATTCTTGTGCCTCAGCCTCCTGAGTAGCTGGGACCACAGGCATGTGCCTCCATGCCTGGCTAATTTAGTTTTTATTTATGTGACATTCTAATTTTACTTTCTATTTTAAATGGGTAGATTCTTTAATCCTTTTTTTTTTTTTTTTTTCAAATGCTAGTTTTAAATAATATGATTTAAATTGATGTTGTGTTTCTTATTCATCCACCCACTGGCTCCTCCTACTGCCCAGGCAAAGAGACTCTATGGGAAACGAGGTGACCCTTTCTATGAAGCCCAAGAGAATCACAACCTCATCGGGGTGGCGAATGTGTTCTTGGAATGTCTCTTCTGTGATGTGAAACTTCAGTATGCAGTCCCCATCATCAGCCAGCAGGGGGAGGTAAGCACAGGCCAGCCTTGGAGAACGACAGTGGGCCGAGTTTTTGGTTTTTTGTTTTGTTTTTCATTCTATTTAAGCTGTGTTGTTGAGGTCGATCAAGAAACTAGGGCAAATAGTCAAGATCTGCATTCTTTTTTCTCTGCTAATAATTGATATTAGTAGAAGCTTTAAAGCTAATCGATATTAGTAGAGGATTAAGTTGTGGTCTTAAAAGATTATTTTAACACATTCAGTATTTGGTGTTCACAAGTTTTTTCTTTGTTTTAATCAAATTGGAAATTTTTTGTAAACCAGATTCAGCTCTGTTCCCCATAATGCTCTCTCTTTTTAAAGGTAATCTCACACCTTTGCAATATACTCTAGTTCCTTCCCGGCCCCTAAATGATCTTTATAAGATAAAACTTGGGAGGATTATTTTGCAATCCAGAGTACTCAAAGGAAACAGGGTTCAATGACTCAGTGTTACCCTCCTTGTAAACTCTGGTGTTTCAGCTATTTAGATATAGTGGCCTAGGTAGGCATAAGATCTGTCAGAAAATGTAGCTTGAAATACCAAGTTATTTCTTGTGATTCGTAGAGCAGTCGAAGAATAAGATGTCATTCTGCCCAAAGTGAAGCTGCATAAAATAGACCCAGGTTCCCAGTTGTGGGTGTGAGTGCACAGTCAACCATCTACTATGGAAACACCCCATGGACATTCTCCTCCAGCGAACCAGTGCCTAGCAGTGCTTTTTCCCATGGGAAAAATGACCGCAGTTAGGAGCCAGCCTGATCAATACTGTGAGACCCCATCTCTAAAAAAGAAATTTAAAAATTAACCAGGCATGGTGATGAGTGCCTATAGTCCCAGGAGGCTAAGGTGGGAGGATCACCAAAGCCCAGGTAGGTCTAAGCTGCCATGAGCCATGATCATACCAGTGCACTCCAGCCTGGGTAACAGAGCATGACCCTGTCTCCAAAAAAAAAACAGTTTACATGGCAGAGTGATTCAATGGCTGAGTCCCTAGTTTAGGGCTTCTTAAGTTGTAGTCTGTGGTATGCTTTGAGTATTCCATTAATCCCCCTGAAATTATATTAAAATGAATTAGAGTCTCAAAAAGCATTTTTAAAAAAAACAAAACTTAAGAACAACTATCTTCTGATTTCATTTCCTTTTTTCCCGATCTTACTACTACTTCCTTATTTGTCTTACTTCTCAGTTATCATTATGTAATTTCTCTTAGGTCCTTAGTTCCAGTGCCAATTGCTGTGTGGAAGTTGGATCTGATCTGCCTTTAAAAATAACCTTCCCTGTTTAGGATGACAGCAGCACTACCAGAACATGTGTCACCTTCACAGCCACAGTCATTACAACCTGAAACTGTGTTATGAAAGATAATTAAGACAATTAAAGCACTCCAAGAATGCAAATTGCAGGATAATCCTTTTCCTCCAATTTGGTTCTGTGCAGCCAGCCTTAAGAGAAACACTGTTAAACTGGCTCCTATCCAGAGAGCCACCATGATAGAAAATTTAAAACCTTTTAATAAAAAAGTTTAAAAGTAACTCTCCACATATCTGTGTGGCTTTCGATATGCTGTTCCTCCTGGATTAGATCTAATGGCACTGCTTTATGGAGCCCTTCTTCATCCTGCTCCCAGCCCCAGTCTGAGTGACACACCCATTCTCTACTCCCAAGAGAATAAAAGCTGCAGGAGCCCAGGTACCTTGTCAGTTTGGTTTGCTGTTGCATACGAAGCACTTAGCACAGTTCCTGGCACAGCTAGTTCTTGGTAAATATTTGTTGAGTGGATAAATTTATCCCATAACAACTTACACATTCATCTACTATAGCAACTAGTCTATGCTGTTGTTAGTGAGGTTTATTTTGTTGTTGTTTTTTGAGATCGAGTCTCACTCTGTTGCCCAGTCTAGAGTACACTGGTGCGATCTTGGCTCATTGCAACCTCCGCCTCCTGGGTTCAAGCAATTCTGGTACCTTAGCCTCCCAAGTAGCTGGGACTACAAGCATGAGCCATCACACCTGGGTTGTTTTTTTTTAGTAGAGACAGGGTTTTACCATGTTGGCCAGGCTGGTCTCCAACTCCTGACCTCAGGTGATCTGCCTGCCTTGGCCTCCCAAAGTGCTAGGATTAGAGTCGTGAGCCACCGCGCCTGACCTGATAGTGAGTTTTTACTTCTCTGTCTTTCCTCCCTTGACTGAGTTCCCTGATGGCAGAAGCTGTGTTTTTATTTTAGTATTCAGTGAACTGGGTGTGGTGACTCACACGTGTAACCCCAGCACTTTGGGAGGCCAGGGTGGGCAGATCACAAGGTCAGGAGTTCAAGACCTTGGCCAATATGGTAAAACCCCATCTCTACTAAAAATACAAAAATTAGCTGGGCTTGGTGACAGACGACTGCAATCCCAGCTGCTCAGGAGGCTGAGATAGGAGAATCGCTTGAATCCAGTGAGGCAGAGGTTGCAGTGAGCTGAGATCATGCCACTGCACTCCAGCCTGGGTGACAGAGCAAGACTCTGTCTAAAAAAAAAAAAAAAAAAAAAAATACCATGGATAATAGATGACTCCAAATAGAATATGAGAGCTGCCTTTAAGCTATTCCTGGGCTATCCTGTGGGAGAATACGATTGAGGATGACGCTAGAAGGCAAGTTGCAGGAAGGCAAATTTGTCTGAAAGGAAGGCAGGACAATCACAGGGGCAAGTGTGGAATGGACTGGCTCAGGGAGTAGCAGGACTCCCCTTGCCAAAGACGACCAAGCAGCAGCTGCAGAGCCCCTCTCCACGTCCATTGTAGAAGGCCCGTCTGTCTTGGGTCGAGGCTGCCCACGAGATGTCTTTTCACTCTAAGGTGCTCTGATCCTTGACCCAGGTTGCAGGGCGTCTCCACGTGGAAGTGATGCGTGTTACCGGAGCTGTTCCAGAGCGTGTGGTGGAGGATGACTCTTCGGAGAATTCCAGTGAAAGTGGGAGCCTTGAAGTCGTAGACAGCAGCGGGGAGATCATTCAGCGAGTCAAAAAACTGACATGTCGGGTGAGAGGACAGCAATGGGAGGCTCATATAAATGATGTTTTTCGTGCAAAACCGTTTTACAAAAAATCTTATGAGTGTTTTTCAACCAGCCTAGGAAAAGTTTAATTTTGTAACAGCAGATAAGGATGGTGGACAGTACTTCGCTATCAGAAGTATAGTACACTTTCTCTTGACAGCTGCATCAAATCTCAGAAGTGTCTATGTATTTGGCAACCAAGAAGCGTGTGTTACTTAGTGGATTATGTTTTTCTAGTAAAGGTTGCATCTCAGTCATTAGGAAGCTTTTGCAGGGATGCGTGTATTTGTTGCCAAGTTTATATGCTGTAGTTACAGAACTGTGATAAAGATCTCATTATAGATACAACCCTTAACAACCTGGTATCAGATATAATATTATCAGACGTCAAATGGATGACTGATTTATTTCATCACTTACTCTTAAATTTGAGGTAGCTGAAATAAAAGAATGTTTAGTGTTTATTGGAGTTTTATTTGTATTGTTTATCTCTTCAGGTAAAAATTAAAGAAGCAACAGGGCTGCCCTTAAACCTCTCAAATTTTGTCTTCTGTCAATACACATTCTGGGACCAGTGTGAGTCTACAGTTGCTGCCCCAGTGGTAGACCCCGAGGTGCCTTCACCACAGTCCAAGGATGCCCAGTACACAGTGACCTTCTCCCACTGTAAGGTACAAATGCCATTACCAAATGAGCTGTGTAGGATCAGAAGAAGTGGGTGCAGTTCAGCAATCGATTGTCCCCATGAGCATTTGTTTTAAGTATAATGTGTTTATTAGATGTTTTAACCTCAGAAGTGTACTTCATTACAAATGTAAACAGCTTAGAAATATTTAAAATAAAATCCAACAGTCTTGTTTCCCGAAGATATAAACCACCAGTGACAGGTTGCTACATATTTCATTAAACTTTTTTCTCTGCTCTACATCTTCTGTATGCATACGGTAACATATGTACCTACACCCTTTTACATCACACGCACATAACTTCTTTAAAAATGCTGGACAAGGCCCGATGCAGTGGCTCATGCCTGTAAACCCAGCACTTTGGGAGGCTGAGGTGGGAGGATCACAAGGTCAAGAGATCACAACCATCCTAGCTAATACCGTGAAACCTCTTCTCTACTAAAAATACAAAAATTAGCTGGGCGTGGTGGCGCACGCCTCTAATCCCAGCTACTCCAAAGGTTGAGGCAGAAGAATAGTTTGAACCCGGGTGGCAGAGATTGTAGTGAGCCAAGATCACATCACTGCACTCCAGCCTGGCAACAGAGCGAGACTCTATCTCAAAAAAAAAAAAAAAAAGCTATATAAAAATGGGATCACATTAAACGTATTTCTGAACATGCACATCTTAACATGTAAGTTGCTATGCATGTCATTCTTCTGAATATACCATTACATTCTAATGTATCATATGAGTGATATGATATGTTTCATATAGATTTTCTCATAAATCATATGAGAAAATATAAAATGAGAAAGGTGAATTTATGGTGAATGCGGTTGGATCTCCTTTGAGACATCACATGCTCTTCCTAGTTTTTGCAAGGGACTGCTGACAAGTCATTTCTGAAAGACCATCCTCTCTGTAATTTTGCTTTTCCTTAGACAACCCTTCATAGATACTGAAGACCCCTTCTTTTGCAAATCACGCTTATTCTTTCTGGTTCTACACTTAGAAAACTAATTTGTATCACCACCTACAAAACTTCACATAGGTAAAGGCTGTCAAGTTTTTCTGAAAACAAATAACCTATATTTATCTGTATTCACCAAGTCTGTTCCTAAAACTATTTATTAATCATATTTTGTTGTTCTCTGAATATTATTTTAAATACTCCCCGTCTATCGTTCTTTTTTTGTTTGTTTTTTGTTCTTTTGTGTTTTTTTGAGATGGAGTCTCACTCTGTTGCCAGGCTGGAGTTCAGTGACCCAATGTTGGCTCACTGCAATCTCCGCCTCCCCACTTGAAGCAATTCTCCTGCCTCCACCTCCCAAAGTGCTAGGATTATAGGCGTGATTGGCTAATTTTTGTTTTTTTTAGTAGAGACGGATTTCACCATGTTAGCCAGGGTGGTCTCCATCTCCTGACCTCTTGATTGGTCCACCTCGGCCTCCCAAAGTGCCGGGATTACAGGCATGAGCCACCGCACCCGGCCTCCCCATCTTTGAATCCACAAAGCTGCTTGTTTAGAAAGACGAAATCTGGATTTTAAGTGTGTCCTGGTTGACAGCTCTTTTAATAAATGCTAGTCCCAGAGCTTCTGGGTTCTTGTGATCTTAGAATTTTTTCATCTCTAAAACGTATAGATTATAGTTGATCACCAAGTTTCTTTTTCTTCTTAAATTCTGGTTCTATCTTCAAATAAAATAGACTAAAAAGCAGATAGTATGTGGTTAAATAAATATAACACAGCTGTTTCTGCAAATTAGTGTCATAAGAGATGTCTCCACCTGAGATTCCACTGAGAGACTAAATAGAAAGAAAATTAGCTTGGCTCGTTGCCTGCTTCATTTTTCGGGGTGATTTGCCACCCATCTCAGTCAGTTCAGTATTCATTCACTTCCACACAACCATCTGTTTGGGGTTGTTTTTGTTTTTAAAGGCGATGTGTCACTCTCTTGCCCAGACTGGAGTGCAGTGGCACAATCACAGCTCACTGCAAGCCTTGAACTCCTGGGCTCAAGCAGCTCTCCTGCCTCAGCCTCCTGAGTAGCCGGGACTACAGGCGCGCAGTGGCACAATCACGGCTCGCTGCAGGCCTTGAACTCCTGGGCTCAAGCAGCTCTCCTGCCTCAGCCTCCTGAGTAGCCGGGACTACAGGCACGCAGTGGCACAATCACGGCTCACTGCAGGCCTTGAACTCCTGGGCTCAAGCAGCTCTCCTGCCTCAGCCTCCTGAGTAGCCGGGACTACAGGCACGCGGTGGCACAATCACGGCTCACTGCAGGCCTTGAACTCCTGGGCTCAAGCAGCTCTCCTGCCTCAGCCTCCTGAGTAGCCGGGACTACAGGCACCACCACACCCAGCTCATTTTTACTTTGCAGAGGCAGAATCTCATTTTGTTGCCCAGGCTGGTCACTATCTCCTGGGCTCCAGCCATCCTCCTGCCTTGGCCTCCCAAAGTGCTGGGATTACAGGCATGAGCCACTGTGCCCAACCTGTTTATGTTTTTGAAAGCAAATAGGGTAGAAAAGCTTAAGAGCAAGAGCATAGAGTCATGAAGATAACCATATAAAATTTAATTCTGTTGTTCTCCTAAGCCATGGCAAGAAACAATTCATTGAGTTAGCCTTTGCCAGCTGAAACTCAGAGTGGTCCTGTGGAACTGAGAGTGAGCCAAGTGTAAGAGAATGTGGAGTCAGCTCTGCCACTAGCAAACAATATGACTTTGGACAATTTGCTTTCTTCATTTTCTTTATTTATATAAGAAACGGGATGAATTAAATGACCTCCCAATTTTCCTTTCAGATCTAATGTTCTGTGGTTTTCTGTAAAACAGAAGAGATGGATTTAAGGTGGAGATCAGGCTAATATACTCTAAAATAAATCTATATAACAGTTGAAAGTTCAAAAGGAAATTTCACAGACTCCTTTAAGCATAATTCTTCTGCTTTCCCCCACGTATCCCAGGACTACGTGGTGAATGTAACAGAAGAATTCCTGGAGTTCATTTCAGATGGAGCACTGGCCATTGAAGTGTGGGGCCACCGGTGCGCTGGAAATGGCAGCTCCATCTGGGAGGTCGATTCTCTTCATGCTAAGACAAGAACACTGCATGACAGGTTTGTACTTGGGTGCACACTTTAGATACAAGGTTAAGACTAGGACTTGAGCAGAGTCTCTGAGCCTACTCTGGCCTAGGAAGCTGCTCATAAAAAAAAAAAAGAAAAAGCGAGGGGGGCACGGAATACAGGCTTTGAACTCTGGGTCTGCTGTTGTTAATTCAGACAAGTTATTTAACTTCTCTGAGCCTGTTTCCTCCTTTGTAAAATGAGAATGATGAAAGAAACTACCAGGCACCAAAGAAATTCAGTGGGGAATGGTGGGTCATATCAACAAATCAGACTGAAACAACTGCATCTCTGTGTGGAGAAAAATCACCCTTGTTCTTTACTTCACACCATACACAAAATAATTAATTTGAGATGAATCATATGTAACCTTAAATACAAAAGCTTAAACTATAATGATTATGGAAGAACACAGGATTTTGGGATAGTCAAATATTCTCAGAAAGGCTGCCAAATGTGCTAACCATAGAAGAAAAGAATTTTTAAGTTTGACTTAATCAAAATTTAAAGCTTGTGCTCATCAAAAGACCACTATGAAAATGAATATACAAGCTACAGTCTGGGGGAAAACTGCTAGTTTCTTGTTAAGTTGATCATTCTCCTCTTTTACGACCCAAGAATCCCACTCATAGGTGTTTACCCAAGATAAATGGAAAGGTAAGTCCACAAATAGAGTTGTACACAATCGGTTTTTTGTTGTTGTTGGTTTTTTTTAGATGAAGTCTCACTCTGTCACTGAGGCTGGAGCGTGCAGTGGTGCGATCTTGGCTCACTGCAACCTCCACCTCCCAGGTTCAAGCGATTCTCCTGCCTCAGTCTCCCGAGTAGCTGGGATTACTGGCATGTGCCACTATGCCTGGCTAATTTTTTTGTATTTTTAGTAGAGATGGGTTTTCACCATGTTGGCCAGGCTAGTCTCAAACTCTTGACCTCAGGTGATCCACCTGCCTTAGCATTTCAAAGTGCTGGGATTACCCCAGCTACTCAGGAGGCTGAGGCGGGAGAAACGCTTGAACCTGGGAGATGGAGGTTGCAGTGAGCCAAGACTGTGCCACTGCACTCCAGCCTGGGAAACAGAGCGAGACTTTGTCTCCAAAAAAAAGGTTTAGTAACTAAAATAGGTTTAGTTATGTATACATTTGTACTCTGTAACTTCTCCTTGTGCTACTTCTGTTGGGCAAAATCTATAGGACTATAAAAATCTATTGGTTCTCATCTAAGAGCTAGTGGTGACTGTTAATGACAGATAGGGTTGCAGATAATCATTTTAAATTTGTTAACTTGTTTTTACATAGTTTCCTTTTGACGTAACACTAAATCTGGGGAGAGTTGTTCATGCTACACAGTACAAATATCCCTTCCTCCCACCATAAAGGCTTGGAATGTTTCCATGGTGTCCTCGGTTGATTGTCAACTTCATCAAACCCCGTTCCATTAGAACGTGAGACTTTGACTATTAAGGTAGATGGTTTATTGTTGCCTGTTAGTATAATGGGAGCCTGATTTCCCAGTGTAAATGTTAGAGGAACAACTTCCTAACAGTAGGTAAGGCAACTGAATGGTTTGGCTTTGTTCTTAGTTATGATCCATTCAAATCTGTACATTATAGAACTCTTACTATGGAATGTGTCTTCCTCCTTTTCGCCTCTGTTCTTGGTGCTAATTGGCAAAAGAAAAATTCTAAGTCAAACCTTTAATAACATGCTGAAGTTTAGTATTGTGCCTGGGTATAAAAGGAGACCAAAGTGCTGGGATTACAAGTGTGAGCCACTGCACGTGGCCTATATGATGTTCGTGGCATCATTATTAATGGTATTCCCAAATTGCAGATAACCTAATATCCTTCAGTGAGTCAATGGGGATAAATTGGTGTCATTCATTTAAAAAAAAGTATTACTCTACAGGCTGGGCGCGGTGGCTCACACCTGTAATCCCAGCACTTTGGGAGGCCAAGGCGGGCAGATCACCTGAGGTCGGAAGTTTGAGACCAGCCTAACCAACATGGAGAAACCCCATCTCTACGAAAGATACAAAATTGGCTAGGCGCAGTGGTGTGTGCCTGTAATCCCAGCTACTCAGATGGCTGAGGCAGGAGAATCACTTGAACTTGGGAGGCGGAGGTTGCAGTGAGCCGAGATGGTGCCATTGCACTCTAGCCTGGGCAACAAGAACAAAACTCCATCTAAAAAAATAAAAAATAAAAATAAAGTATTACTCTGCATTAAAAAAGAGAAAAACTATTTGGATGAATCTCAGAAACATTATGCTGAATGAAAGAAGCCAGACGCAAGAGTACATAATGTGTAATTCCATTTATTTGGAGTTCTAGAACAGGCAAAACTAATCTCTCAGTTAACGCAGTTGCTATAGGAGTGTGGGATTGAATGGGAATGGGTATGAGCAAAGTTTCTGAGATGATGGGGTGGGTTACAGTCATATACGCATTTCTAAAAACTCATTGAACTCTATACTCAAGATCTAGGCATTTCACTCTACTCAACAAATAAATAAAAAGAACCTATATGACCGGGTGGGTTTGAGAGTTAAATAAGGAAATGACTTCTATGAGACACATGGCACAGTGCCTAGCACATAGTAAGTGCTCAGTGAATGATGGCTTATTACCAGCAGCCTCCCTGGACGATGATGCTCTTGCTTATTGGACTGTTGCAGGTGGAATGAAGTAACTCGGAGAATAGAAATGTGGATCTCCATACTAGAATTGAATGAGTTAGGGGAGTATGCTGCAGTAGAACTTCATCAGGCAAAAGATGTCAACACAGGAGGCATCTTTCAACTGAGACAGGTACTGAGTTTGTTTTGGTTTTTTCTTTTTTTAATGTTTTCTCTCTGTTCTACTCTTACACATAGTTTCTGGGAATTTTCTAACTATTTGTATCTTTGTTCTCTAATCCTTTTCTCCTTCTTTATCTCCTTCTCCCATCCCTCTTTATTATTATTCCTGGCACCCGTACGCCTGCCCACCCTCTTCAGGGTCATTCCCGTAGAGTACAAGTCACGGTATCACCTGTGCAGCATTCAGGGACACTGCCGCTTATGGTTGAAGCCATCCTGTCAGTAGCCATCGGTTGTGTAACTGCCAGGTCCACCAAACTCCAGAGAGGGCTGGACAGTTACCAGGTAAGACAAGCAGACTTGAAATAGTATTTAACAAAGCTTGGTTAATGCAGAAATAAGGCACTTAATGATCTCTGATGCGGACCTTTTTGCAAATATAACAGAACTCCTTGCCTTAACCACAGGTCTTCCCCCAGTTCACATTTCCATCCATTGCCCTTTTTTTAGCTTTAAAATCTGTTTGCTTAGTGTTGATTAATAATAATTTTATTTATAAACACACACGTCATAATGCTATAGTAGTCATTTACGTTAGGCAGATTTTATTTTATATCTGGCCTGAAATATGTTGTATCTTTGGCATTACTGCCTGACCTGATCCACTTTTTTTTTTTAAGATAGGGTTTTGCTTTGTTGCCCAGGTTGGAGTATAGTGGTATGATCATGGCTTACTGCAGCCTTCACCTCCTGGGCTCAAACGGTCCTTCCACCTCAGCTTCCCAAGTAGCTAGGACTACAGACATGCATCACTGCACCCAGCTGATTCTTTTATTTTTTGTAGAGAAGGGTGTGTCGTTCTGTTGCCCACACTGGAGTCAAACCCCTGGACTCAAGTGATCCTCCTACCTCAGCCTCCAAAAGTGCAGGGATTACAGGCGTAAGCCACCACACCTGGCCACTTTATAGTGTAAAATTATTTTCATACACTGTCATAATTAACCAGCTCTTTGAAAGCTTTACTTCTTTTATTGTTAAAATGTGTCCTTATGATCATTTTTGTTCATTAAATCTTCCTTTCCTAAACATTATATTCTCATTTTTAAAAACATGAAAACCTCTAAGAATTGATCATATTATCAGTCAGAGCTACTCAGTATTCCGTGAAAAGAATTTCTAAAATTAGGAACTTGGCCAGGCACAGTCACTCATGCCTGTAATCCCAGCACTTTGAGAGGCTGAGGTGGGGAGGATTTCTTGAGCCCAGGAGTTCAAGACCAGCTTAACCAACATGGAGAAACCCTGTCTCTACTAAAAATACAAAGAATTAGCTAGGTGTGGTGGTGCATGACTATTGTCTCAGCTGTTCAGGAAGCTGAGGCATGAGAATCATTTGAACCCTGGAGACAGGCTGCAAGTGAGCCAGGATGACACCACTGCACTCCAGCCTGGGTGACAAAGTAATACTATCAAAAAAAAAAAAATTAGGAACTTGTCCCCCAGTAGCCTGAAAATATGAATGTGCTTCATTGAGTCCCCAGTTTACTACCAGATATGAGTTAGGAACCAGGGAGAATCACTGTTAAATCTGCCTCGCTCACCCCCACATGTGATTGAGAGCACTCTCCCTCTCATGCCGAGGAAAAAACATTTCTCCTCTGTGGAGTCTGAGTCTAAGCCCAGCCAAACTTGAGGATGTTTTCTCTTCTATCTCAGTTTCCTTTTGGCTTCATTGCTTTCAGGCAGAGACTTTTCTGGAAGCCAAAAGTCAGTGCACAGACTATTCAACTTCAAGGCAGTAATAGCTATGTCAGATGCTGCCTTCCCTTCAAGCCCAAAATTCCCTCTAGCTCGGAACATCTGTCCACATTTCATTCAGAGTATGAATGGAGGTTCGAGGACAGGGCTGCTGTGGTTTGGTAGGCTTCTCCACCAGACTTCTACTTGTGTGTGGTGCAGCCCGTGCAGCAGGAAATGGGGTTGTAGGTATTCTCATACCAGTTCAGTCCTTCATTTAGCCATCAACTTCTTCGTGGGTGCACGGTCGAAGAACACTAGACCTGGAGTGAGGAGACCTGGGTCTTAAGTTTAGTTCAGCATTACTAAATGGCTGTCTTGACTAGATGATTTAAACTTTGTGTTCCTGTTTCTCCAACATGATGAGGTAGACTTAATAAACCTCCGAGGTCTCTTTCCACAGTAAAATTTTGTGGCTTAATAAATCTCTGATGTCCAGTAAAAACATTGTGGGTTCCAAACGGTGACCTGAAGCATGTGGATCATCAACTAAATGTTCTCCCTTGAGGAAGATTCCAAGGATCAATTTTTTCTTTTTTGAGACAGTCTCACTGTGTCGCCGAGGTTGGAGTGCAGTGTCTTGATCTCACCTTACTACAACCTCTGCCCCTTAGGTTCAAGCGGTTCTCCTGCCTCACCCTCCTGAGTATCTGGGATTACAGGCTCTTGGCTAATTTTTGTATTTTTAGTAGAGGTGGGGTTTCACCATCTTGGCCAGGCTTGTCTTGAACTCCTGACCTCGTGTTCTACCCACCTCAGCCTCCCAAAGTGCTGGGATTACAGATGTAAGCCACCGTACCTGGTGCTTTTTTTTTCTTCTTCTTCTTCTTCTTCTTCTTTTTTTTTTTTTAAGACAGAGTCTCACTCTGTCACTCAGGCTGGAGTGCAGTGGCATGATCTCAGCTCACTGCATTTTTTTCCATCTCCCTGGTTCAAGTGATTTTCCTGCCTCAGCCTCCCAAGTAGCTGGTATTACAGCCATGTACCACCACACCCAGCTAATTTTTGTATTTTTCTTAGAGACAGGATTTCACCAGGTTGGCCAGACTGGTCTCCAACTCCTCACCTCAAATGATCCACCCACCTGGACCTCCCAAAGTGCTGGGATTACAGGTGTGAGTCACCATGCCCAGCAACTATTTGTAGTTTTTTCTAAAAAAAAGAAAAAAGAAAGAAAGAAAGAAAAGAAAAAAGCTCTACCTCTGAGTTAAAACTTATTTTTGTCAAATTGAAAACTTTAAAATATTAGCCTCTCCCCAGTGCTATATGCTCTTGAAATTTGAACTGTAGCTATTTTAAAGGCTTTTTTTTCTTTGCTGCCATGTTGCAGGTGATGTCTGTTAAGTGTTTTTGTTATTGAGACAGTGCTTTAGAATTATTCTGATGCAAAAAAAGAGTTATTCTGATGCAGTAGCTGAAACCAATACAGAATATGCTGATTTTGCGACAACTTTACATCATGAATGCTTAGGCCAGTTTTCAGTGAATACAATTACCTCCTTAGTTTAAAAAGTTATAATAAGTTAGAGCTATTTGTTATTTTACATTAATAGGAAGTATTCATTCAAGATAAATTACTTCAAGATTAGGACTACATTTAATAAGTCATATAACTGATAATGACCAAAGCAAAAAAAAAAAAAAAAGCTGTTCATTTTGAGGTATATATGAAAATAATTTTGACTATATATATATATATATATATATATACATATATACATATTTTTTTGAGACAGAGTCTCGCTCTGTCACCAGGCTGGAGTGCTGTAGTGTGATCTCGGCTCACTGCAATCTCTGCCTCCTGGGTTCAAGCATTTCTCCTGCCTCAGCCTCCTGAGTAGCTGGGATTACAGGCATGCGCCACCACGCCCAGCTAATTTTTGTATTTTTAGTAGAGACGGGGTTTCACCATGTTGGCCAGGATGGTCTTGACCTTGTGACCTCATGATCCACCTGTCTTGGCCTCCCAAAGTGCTGGGATTACAGGTGTGAGCCACCATGCCTAGCTGACTATATTCTTAAAGCACTTTTGTAGTCACAAATCTTAAATTAAGGGATTCTTGATTCTTGTTTCTAAGGAAAATTGTTTCAACCAAGGCCCTTTTGTTTTCAACGAGATTATTTTGCCAAATGTTTTTGCAAAAATTGTTACTTTCTTTAGTTATTTTACAATGTTGTGGTGTTTGAAACAGTTGTGATTCTCTCAAGTGATTTTATGGTCAATAGAGAATACTGACAAATCCTTATATTCCAAATACTATGCTGTGCTTTTATTTTGACAGTGTAGTACAGACTCTTGTGTGTATATAGCCTGAGGTTTCCCCAGCTTTCCGCTGGGATGATTTCATCAGGGAAATCAGCTGAAGTTAGAGACCTCATACAGGCGTGGCTTACAGTTCTTACTGCCATTATTTGTGTGATCCTAAGGTTAAATCATTTCGTCCTTTAAGGCTTAGTTGCCTCATTGCTCAAACTGAGATTGGGCAAAAGAATCTTTTTTGCCATTCTGTCTTCCTAAGCCTATCTCAAATCTCAAATAGTCTACCCCAAAATATATATCACCTGTATGACAATGGTGTAAGGCCTGGTTCGATGTTGGTTCCTATCCCCAGCTAAGAGATTTCTTATGTTTATTTTATTTTATTTTATTTATTTTGAGATGCAGTCCCTCTCTGTTGCCCAGGCTAGAGTGCAATGGCACAATCTGGGCTCACTGCAACCTCCGCCTCCCAGTTCTTCTGCCTCAGCCTCTCAAGTAGCTGGGACTACAGGCACGCACCACCACGCCCAACTAATTTTTGTATTTTTACTAGAGATGGGTTTCACGATATTGGCCAAACTAGTCTCGAACTCCTGACCTCATGATCCGCTCCTCAGCCTCCCAAAGTGCTGGGATTACAGGCGTGAGCCACAATGCCTGGCCCTATTTCATTTTATTTTTTTGGAGACAAGGTCTTGCTCTGTTGACCAGGCTGAGGTGCAGTGGTGTGATCAGAGCTCACTGCAGCCTCCATCTCCTCGGCTCAAGTGATCCTCCCTCTTTAGTAAGTAGCTGGGACTACAGGTGCACACTACAAATGCAGCTAAGTTTTACAAACTTTTTGTGCAGGCCAGGCATGGGAGCTTACGTATAATCCTAGCACTTTGGGAGGCCGAGGCAGGCAGATCACGAGGTTAGGAGTTCAAGACCAGGCTGGTCAACATGGTGAAACCCTGTCTCTACTAAAAATTACAAAAATTAGCTGGGTGTGGTGGCTCGTGCCTGTAATCCCAGCTACTTGGGAGGCTGAGGTAGGAGAATTGCTTGAACCGGGACCCAGGAGGCGGAGGTTGCAGTGAGCTGAGATCACACCACTGCACTCCAGCCTGGGCCAAAGAGCAAGATTCCATCTCAAAAAAAAAAAAAAATTTTTGTACAGATGGGGTCTTGCTATGTTGCACAGGCAGGTCTCAAACTTCTAGCTTCAAGAGAGCCTCCTGCCTTGGCCTCCCAAATGCTGGGGTTATAGGCATGAGCCCAGCCAAGTTTTTATGTTTCACTGACTCTTTTCTTTATGTAAAAAATTCTTTAAATTATAGACAAGTGAATTAAATCCATTATCCCTTTTTGAGGTTCGATTTAATATTTTATTATGCTTATGTTATTTTAATGTGTAAAGCTTAAAGAATTATTTTCCCTGTATGCTGTTTGAAAAACAAAATGCATGTCCTTTGTGTTTATTTTTTCCTACCAGAGAGATGATGAGGATGGTGATGATATGGATAGTTATCAGGTATTGCTACTGTCAATCCTGCGGCATGGGGCACAGCTACTGCTAATTGCCAGCATTTGCAAAGCAGAGCCAGGGAGGAGGAAGGAGGGTCCTGGAGCGAGAATATGCAGTTTTTCACTTGCTTTTGATTTGCTTTATATGTAATCAAACGCAATACTATTTCTATAGGTTTCCTTGTCAGTTCACAATTTGTAATCGAATAATTGCCTTTTTGCTATGCCATCTCAATTTACTGGCTTATTGCTAAGCAAGATCATGGTCCCTGTGTTAAAATGGATGATGATCTGGAGGCTGATCTCAGTAATAATAAAACTCCAGTCTCCCACAAAAATAAATAAGTAAATAAATAAAATGGGTGATCTTAAAATATTGCAGTTATTCGTCCACAATCTTTTAGAGACTCTTATCTTTCCCATGCTAACATGTATTCTGCTCCTTACATCCAAGAGCTAATATTGTTGTAATATGACATTTTATTTTAAAAGACTTTTGCTGCATAGGAAAATTGAAGACATTTTACGCACGTAATTGTGATTTGTTTAGCCAGCTTTCTTCCCTCATTAGGGCCATACTTAGTTCTCCATAACCTGTAGAATTTAAATCTCAGCTTTTCCTGGTTGGAAATCTTGAAAAAATATACAGATATGCAAACTGAGATTGTACCTTGTCAGCTCTGACTGGCCTGATACCACGGAGTGTGGGGTTATGTAGAAATGGTCAAAGCAGCAAACCAAGATGAAGCTTTTTGGTTCCCAGTCTTTGTACAGATTCTCCACACACATCTTCAAAGGTTGTTTTCTCAGTGTGCCTTCCTAGATGTAAAATGTGGGTACATTGGCCAGGCGTGGTGGCTCACGCTTGTAATCCCAGCACTTTTGGGAGCCAAGGCAGGCAGATCATGAGGTCAGGAGTTCAAGACCAACCTGGCCAACATGGTGAAACCCCATTATCTACTAAAAATACAAAACTTGGCTGGGCGTGGTGGCACACGCCTGTAATCCCAGCTACTCTGGAGGCTGAGGCAACAGAATCGCCTAAACACAGGAGGGAGAGGTTGCAGTGAGCTGAGATAGCACCACTGCACTCTGGACTGGGCGACAAGAGCAAAACTCCAAATCAGAAAAAAAAAAAAAAATGTAGATAAACTTTACGTTGTAGGTAAAGTTTCAGAGGTCCTAGGTATCTATTCTTGATGTAACATCTTAAGTCTTAAACTGGAATTAGGCAAGCCAAAGAGCATATTTAATAGAATTGATGGGTTTTCTTTCCCTACTCGTAATTCCATGAAGAAAAATCTTTCAGGGAAATATCATTATCCCCTTGGATCTCAGCAATGCCATTGACTAACGTCCTGCGGCTGTTTGTGCGCTTCCTGGCACGTTTTTCACAGTGCAGTCCAGTGGCTGCATAGAGGATTTCTTAAAGCATGGCTGACTGCATGTTGGGGTTTGCATGGGAGATTTTTGGTTAGTCTCACGGTGGTGGTTGAAAGTAAAATGTTTGTGGCGAGTTTGAAAAGTTTTCTGCTGACCTATTCTTTGCATTTCAGAAAATCTGTTATCAGACTACTGAACTATGAGCTATGAAAATGCTTGTCGTTTTCCATTCCATTAGTTGTTACTTGGTTTGGGCTCTGTTCGTGCTGTCCTGTTTGGGATCACAAATCCTGCAATGAATAGCTGCAATTTAAATTTACATACACACATAGTAAACAAAATCGGACAGCTGGTATACTTTGAGCTTGTCTTGCTTTTAAGTATAATTATCCTTTTGGAGATCCAGGAGCTCTGATGCTCTGGGTAAGAGCATCCTTGATCAGCATGCAGTGTTACTGATGCCTCTCTGCTTTCTTGCATATTAATCACATGGCAATGTTCAATGTCTTTTCCCACTGAAAAGTTCCCTAGTCGATTTAAACATCTTTTAAAAAAAAAAAAAAAAAAAAGAAATCCTTTTCTATGCGGAGTCTATAGGAAAATATTTTCCCTCCCTGATGTTAGGAAGAAGACTTAAACTGCGTAAGAGAGAGGTGGTCAGATGCACTCATTAAACGGCGAGAATACTTGGATGAACAGATAAAAAAAGTCAGCAATAAAACAGGTATGTGAGATCAAACTCTTTTGGGAGGAGCTTTTCTCTTTTACACACGGCAGTAGGTTGTTTTCGTCCCCTAATTGGACAGTAGTATCTTATTTTTGTTGTTTGTTTGTTTGTTTTTAAGACAGGGTCTCGCTCTGTCACCCAAGCTGGAGTCAGTGCTAGGATCATATCTCACTGCAGCCTTGAACTCCTGGCCTCCAGAGATCCTCCTGCCTCAGTCTCCTGAATAGTTGAGACTACAAGCATGAGCTACCACACCCAGCTAATTTTTAAATGTTTTGTAGATGGGGGGGTTCTCACTTTGTGGCCCAGGCTGATCTCAAACTCCTAGACTCAAGTGATCCTCCCACTTCAGCCTCCCAAAGTGCTGGAATTGCAGGTGTCAGCCATTGCACCCAGCCTGTTTAGTTTTGTGAACTTGTAACAATTATAGACATTAGTCCGTTATATTATACGTTGTTGGTTTTCAGCCTCCAAATTTGAAAGTAATACGTTTTTATAAAACTCTGAGCTACGTCATAAAACTGTGACATTACATGTCAAATTCACATTTCATTTTGATGGACACAAATGTGATTGATACCAGTATGTCAATATGAGATATTCTGGGCACCAGGACGTACGACATACAGCAGCCAAAGGGTCACTTCTGAAATCAAACCACTTAGCAGGTCAGCACCTATCCACTGTTGGGCCATTGACATGCACTCAGCTGGTTCAGTGTGGTCCCTGCAACGCCATTCACTGCCACCCAGTGAATAATGCTGTTATCCATCCATAAGCAAGCTGCACCCTTGGATACGTAAGCAAGTTATGCATCCAAGGGTGCAGCTTGCTAATGGTAGCAGTGGCCACTTGGATTCTAGATAGAAATATGCACTTAAAATCCTTAGTCTCTCATCCAGACATCATGGTCTACTCACTGTGGTTGGTTCTGCACCAAAGAACACATCATGCATGTGAATCCATTTCATGTAGAAGCTAGCAAAAAGTCTCCCTCAGGAAAACATCTTGGCTCAACATGTGGTGTTGCTTTGTGTATATGCTCAGGCTGCTAATGAAAAGTCACTTTGACTGTACCCAGGGAGCCCCCGAATTGAATTATGAGTAAGAGGATTTCAAAGTATATCAAATAAAATCCATTTCATGATAAGCCTCAAGGAAAATGAAGGTGATTTTACAGAGTAAGGTATATGGTGTGTTTTGTTTTATTTTGAGACAGAGTCTCGTTCTGTCGCCCAGGCTGGAGTGCGTGGCACGATCTCAGCTCACTGCAACCTCCACCTCCCAGGTTCAATCAATTCTCCTGTCTCAGCCTCCTGAGTAGCTGGGACTACAAGCACCCAACACCATGCCCAGCTAATTTTTGTATTTTTAATAGAGATGGAGTTTTACCATATTGGTCAGGCTGGTTTCAAACTCCTGACCTCAGGTGATCTGCCCACCTTGGCCTCCCAAAGTGCTGGGATTATAGGTGTAAGCCACTGTGTCTGGCCTTTGGTGTTTTTTAATCCTCTGTCTTTGTAAAGTCACATATGGTTCTGTAAAGTAGTGTCACCTCCATATTTCATTTGATCCTTCCAGCAAGTATGTGAAGTAGACACGACTTCTGTTATCCCCATTTGACAGGTTGGGGAGACTTGTTGAATAACTGCCCCAAATTACAGAACCGTAAAATAACCTGAGTCTTCTAATTGCTGTTCCAATGCTCTTTCTGCTATTTCTGGCTTACAGTTTCTAAAATTGGTGTCACAGCCCCTCTCAGCTCCCTATACATCCTCTTGCTTGAACTTCACAGGCTCAACTCCATTTAAGGGGCGTAGCAGATGTTTAAGCCACTTACAGATAGCACTAAATGAAATCTGTTTATTGTTTTTCTTTGCTTGTTTTTTGAGGCAGGGTCTCACTCTGTTGCCCAGGCTTTAGTGCAGTGATGTGATGATGGCTCACTGCAGCCTTGAACTCCTAGGCTTAAGTGATCCTCCCACCAAGCTGCCTGAGTATCTGGGACTACAGGCATGTATGTCACCACCCTCCCCAGCTGTTGCTTTTTTTTTTTTTTTTTTTGGTAGAAATGGGGTCTCACTATATTGCCCAGGCTGATATCTGTTCCTTGTAAATGGAGAAGTTGTACTTTCTCTCTTGTTGGCATTAATCCCTCATTTTGTTCTGCAGAGAAAACAGAGGACGATGTTGAGAGGGAAGCCCAGCTTGTGGAGCAGTGGGTAGGGCTAACCGAGGAAAGGAATGCTGTGCTGGTGCCTGCCCCAGGCAGTGGGATTCCTGGGGCACCTGCCGACTGGTAAGGCTGCCCTTCCTTCTGTGCAGACCTGGGGAGATGGCACAGGTCACCTGTGGCAAGAGCCATGCAAGAGACTTTCCAGGATTGTCACAGCAAATGCCAACCAGCTGAGCTGCTTAGGGAATGTCCACTCATCTCTAGTGCTTCCATCCCTTTTTTCCTTTCCCACTGAAGCCAACTTTCTCCCACAGGAAGCCAGAGAGCACTGATTACCTGGCCAGGAATCACATACCCTATTCCTCTATTCTTCTGCATAAGCAACTCAGACATGGTTTCCTGATCTCCAGAAATTCTTTTATTTTGTCTGGAAAGTATTTGAAGAGGGCAGAAAATGTATTAGTGGAGCTACCTTTTTGGTAGTATTGTGAGAATTAGAGATAATGTATATATAATACCTTATATATGAAAATATTATCTTGTATATTATAATGTATATAAAATACCTTTCATGCCCATTCAATAATCCTAGCTGCTGCTGCTGCTGCTGCTGCTCATTCTCATTCTCATTTTTATTATCATATGTCCAAGGCATTTAAGAGAAAATCAGATTCCTTTTGAACACAGCATAGAAACATTAATGATAATACCTGCATCTCTAATGATAAATGGAAATGTAATCAATTTCATTATATGTTGAATCTGAATCTGCAGGCATATAATTTGTAAGCTCATGTTTCTCCCTGCAGATGCTGCTGTCGTGCTGGAGTACTGTAGGTCTCTTGCAGTAATTCTGCCAGCCACTTCTTATGGACAGCCTGCTCACCCCAATCTTGTTCTGGCCCTTAAAGCCCTCTCTATAGACAATTCTTCTCCTTACTTCATTCTCTCTTATATGAAGTGTTTTCAAAGTTCAGATCATCTTGAGTGCTTGTAACATGTAAGCCTGGGTCTCATCCCTAGTTATTCTGATTCAGAAGAGAAAGGACGGACCCATGATTCTTCTTTTTTAATTGTTTTAAATAAGAATTTGCATTTTTAAAGGGACTCTTTAAGAGGCCTCTGAGGTGGTTCTGATGCAGCTGGACAAGTTGGTTTTTTCAGTGTTTTGTTTTTTTGAGACAAGGTCTCGCTGTTTCCCAGGCTAGAATATAGTGGTGTGATCTTGATGCACTGCAACCTTGACCTCCCAGGTTCAAGCCATCCTCCCACCTCCCAAGTAGCTGGGACCACAGACATGTGCCACCACACCTGGCTAGTTTTTGTTGTTGTCGTTGTCGTTGTTTGTAGAGACAAGTTCTCCCTGTGCTGCTCAGGCTAGTCTTGAACTTGTCCTCAAACCATCTTTCTGCCTTGGCCTCCCAAAGTGCTGGGATTACAGGCAGGAGCCACCACACCTGTCCCTGGGCCAGTTTTTGATAAAGCACTGATCGGTCTCTTCTGTACACATGCCTGCCTCCTTTCACATCTTTCCTTCTGTCCACCTTTGAGCTTTGTTTCCTTCCTCTAGGCTCAGATCCTGTCCCCTGTCACCACCCTAACAACATCCCCTTCCCTTTCCCTCTCACTGGAATTCTTTTTAGAAAGGCTTCAAATAATCTTTGTTGCAATTAATTACATGTAACTCATATAACTGGAAGTTCTTTTATATAATTCATCTAATTCCCATGATTTATGTCTACAAGGAAGTCAAGAAATATGAAAGTATTTCACTAGTGGAAACTGCATCTCTGCTGTGGTTCTCTTTGCTTCCACAGCTCTGTGGTGTTTTATCAGCTAATAAGATGTAAAATACGTATTTTGTTATGATTAAATTTTGTTATTAAATTTAGGATCCCACCTCCTGGAATGGAAACCCACATACCAGTTCTCTTTCTCGACTTGAATGGTAAGTAGACAAAGTCACAGAGATTATTATATTTAATTAAGGTTTGTAATCTGTTCAGACTCACATTATTTTGATCCTTAAATCACTTCTAATCACTCATGTGCCAAATTAAGTGACATTTTTGTTCTAATCAAATATATAAGCATGGTATGTGTATAGTTAATCGAAAAAGGAGAACATAGGGTGATTGAGAACTGCATGCAAGAGCATTAGAGCAGTTACACTGAAACAATAGACAAAGAAATTCCCCTGAAAAGTAATCACCCCAGAGATTCTGAGCCTTTAGGCTCAGCAGGGGCCTATGAATCTCCATTTCTGACTCGTGCCCTTCACTCTGCTCCTCAAATAGTTTTGATGGCAGAAATGATCACAGTATAACCCTGCCTTAAGGGTAGTCCTTCATGTGGCAATTAGATGGATCCTGGACAAGTCTAGAACAGTGGTTTCCAGTGTGCTTTAGCAGTAAAATCCTTTTCTAAATGAATTATTAAATGGAATCCCATGTGTAGAAAACAACAGCAGAGTTGCTGAGTTAGCAGTGGGCAGGCCCCTGGCAGACCCTTTGGCCGGGCCGTAGGGCTCCTCAAAACAGCCTGAAAACCTCTGTTCTGGAAGGAAGCCCAGTTGTGGATGGATGGAAGACACAGGGAGGGTAGCTTTGGCTCTTCACATGAATAATTTTTTTTTTAAAGCCTGGATGTCAAATGTATGCCTCATAAGATAGTGAGTTTCCTGTCATGGGAGGCATATAAACAAAGACTGGTTGGCCATTTACAGAGATTTGTGAAGGGTGAAACCCCATATCGGATGGGACATTGGGACGCTAGAAGATACTCTTCATATTATCTCCCAAGTACTCAGAACTTTGATTCTAAATTGATAATTAAATGCTAAAATCTCTAATTTATGGTAAGTTATTAGGTAGGACAACAAACCTAACAACAGTTTACAGGAGGAATTGACATCAGAAAGTGACAAAATTCTAAGGGTTTTTGTTTTTCGTTTTTGAGACAGAGTATTGCTCTGTCACCCAGGCCTCACTGCAACCTCCACCTCCCAGGTTCAAGCAGTTCTCTGCCTCAGCCTCCCAAGTAGCTGGAACTACAGGCAACTGTCACCACGCCTGGCTAATTTTTGTATTTTTAGTAGATATGGGGTTTCACCATCTTGGCCAGGCTGGTCTTGAACTCCTGACCTCATGATCCACCCTCCTTGACCTCCCAAAATGCTGGGATTACAGGCATGAGCCACGGCACCCAGCCTCTAAGATCTGTTTAATGAACATACTTGCTCCTGAGACAATGATGGAATATATTCATTCCATCTTATAGGAGACTCACAAGGCAACTTTTTGGCTCCTATCATTATTTGTTTTTGTTTTTGGTTTGGTTTGGGTTTTTTGTTGTTGTTGTTTTTTAGTAGAGACAAGGTTTCACCATCTTGGCCAGCCTAGTCTTGAACTCCTGACTTCATGATCCACCTGTCTTGGCCTCCCAAAGTGCTGGGATTACAGGCATGAGCCACTGCACCCAGCCAACTCCTATTGTATTTCTAAAGAATAAAAGCTGTAGAGCACAATGGGCTCATGCCTGTAATCCCAGGGCTTTGGGAGGCCAAGGCAGAAGGACTGCGTGAGTCCAGGAGTTGGAGACTAGCCTGAGCAACAAAGCTAGACTCCATGCCTACAAAAAAATTTTTCAAACTAATCAGGCCTAGCGGCATGTACTAGCTACTCAGGCTGAGGCAGGAGATCTTGAGCCCAGGAGTTGAAGCTACAGTGATCTATGATCAGGCCACACTCCAGCCTCAGCAACAGAGCGAGACCTTGTCTCAAAAAAAAAAAAAAAAAAAAAAAAGCCAAGTACAGTGGTTCACACCTGTAATCCCAGCACTTTGCGGGGCCTAGGCAGGAAGATCAATTGAGCCTAGGAGTTCAAGACCAGACTAGACAACATAGTAAGACCTCATCTCTATTAAATAAATTTTTAAAAAAGAAAAAACTGTTGTGAGTCTCGGTGTCTCTGTAGCAAATGCAGGTTAAGGAATGGAAGAAAAAATTAAACGTGTTATATGTTAACTTCAACTGTAAAAGGCATATATTTAAATTTTTGGTGTTTGCTTAAAAACTGACTTACCCCCTGCTGTTTTGTCTGTGCCCTGGATGTGGTTAGCGGATGACCTCAGTGCCAATGAGCAGCTTGTCGGCCCCCATGCATCCGGAGTGAACTCCATCCTGCCCAAGGAGCATGGCAGCCAGTTTTTCTACCTGCCCATCATAAAACACAGTGACGATGAGGTAATTAACCCCCGAGCTTCTCTGAAAGGGCTTCAGATTAACACACACGCCTTGTGTGCCTGTTTTCCCAGTAAACTGCAGTGGTTTGCCTTGGGGAAAAAGACTGGGTACTTTAAAAAATAGAACATTGGTGTTGCTGTTCAAAAAAGGTGAGGAAAGAAATCTGTTGGATTACAGTGAGTTGAATTTATTGTCTTTCTCCTGTATGCCCTGTAAAACTGCTACGCCTGACTTGTGTCTTATTTCCATCTCCCCCTCCTTCCCCCACTCTTAGGTTTCAGTCACAGCCTCTTGGGATTCCTCGGTGCATGATTCTGTTCACTTGAATAGGGTCACGCCACAGAATGAAAGGATTTACCTAATTGTGAAAACCACAGTCCAGCTCAGCCACCCGGCTGCTATGGAGCTAGTATTACGAAAACGGATTGCAGCCAATATTTACAACAAGCAGGTAATAACAAGGCCTGATTCTGCCATTCTGGCTCTGAGCTCAAACTGTTTTCCCTCTCTCTATCACAAAGCAGTGTTTTGTGGTGCTAATGCAGGGGATGTGCAAAATGTGACCGTCCTGGCCAAGTTATAGTCCAATTCTCATTTATCCAAGATAGTGGGCATTAGGATAGCAGAGGTCAATGTCATCCAGTAAGGGCATTTTCACCTTGACTGATTGGAGACGTGTAATCCTAACAGGCAGTCGAGCTGTGGTATTTCACTGTTTGAAAAGTAGAAAAACTGAGGCTGAGAGATTAAGTGCCAGGTCCAAGCAGGTAAATGACAAAACCAGGGAAAGAGGCAGACTCCAAACACATCTCTATCCTACTGCTTTGACGGATCCTATCTCAGAGGTGCTGTCAGTGAAACTGATCCTTTCCGATGTTGTTCTGGCCTCTCAAGAAAGACTGATTAAACCCTGGAGAGATCAAAGGAAGGCAACGGATGGGAAAGAGAAGCAACCACAGAAACCGTGAACATGCTGCAGATTCTATAGTCTAATTCCCAACTAACAGCTGGACGTCACTACCCCTTGGGATTGGAGATAGGGATTCTTAGCTTCAGTTCTTTTCTCTTATGCTGGGTATTGTGCCTATCAAAAACATAGTAACTCAAAATGCTTTTATAATTTGTAAAATATAAAATCACTTATATTTGTCATATAGCTTAATTCAGCTTTTTTTTTAACCAGAGTTTCACGCAGAGTTTGAAGAGGAGAATATCCCTGAAAAACATAGTTTATTCCTGTGGCGTAACTTATGAAATAGTATCCAATATACCAAAGGTAAAATATATGCTACTTTAAAAAATATCAATATATAAATAATGGAGAATGTGATCATTCTCCAGACTTCTAAAACATTTTCTCACCACATTTTGGAAGAAAACATATTCACATCAAAGTATTGTCATTTCCTTCCTGTCCTTTTAGGCAACTGAGGAGATAGAGGACCGGGAAACACTGGCTCTCCTGGCAGCAAGGAGTGAAAATGAAGGCACGTCAGACGGGGAGACGTACATTGAGAAGTACACTCGGGGTGTGCTGCAGGTGGAAAACATTCTGAGTCTTGAACGGCTCCGGCAGGCAAGTAACTGAATATCTGGACCAAGGATGAAATCACCAGCCTTCACCCACAATGGACAGACATGAATTTATTTACCAAATACTAAATCTATCAGAGAAGGAGCACTTGAGCAGCCATCTCATTGAAAGGATTCTGGCAAAACAGTAATAAAAATAATGACTAACTTTTACTGAATACTTCCTATTTGCCAAACACTGAGTCTGAGTCATGTAGATATTTTATTTAATCTTCGAGATAACCCCCTGAGATAAGTACTGTTGAAATCCCCATTTTTAAATGAGAAAATTGAGGCTGACAGAAGTTAGCTAACTCACTCATGGGTACACAGCTAGGAAGAGATTCAAAGTCAGATGTAAAGCCAAATAATTTGACTCCAAAGCCCATATGCTTAATCACAGACTATTATTATCTCCCTAGTTTTTAGACCTGGGTTAATTTTGGGGTGACAACAGGACATTCAAGTGAAAATAATCCATGAAGTAATGGAACTGTAAGACGAGATATGTCATTTCATAGGAGTGACAGCTGACGTTATGGAGGGTGCGTGTTGATTAATAGGAGGAATGTGATTGGCATCTGTCAGAAAAAAGGCATCTGACGGATCCTATCTCAGAGGTGCTGTCAGTGAAACTGATCCTCTCCGGTGTTTTCCTTAATGGAAATCCCACCTGAATTGCTGCATGAGTAAAATACAAACAGCATCACACTTTGTTGTCATTTTGCAAGTGAGATAGAGAGTTAGCGGTCTCTCTTCTACATTTCCTCTGTCCACCTGTATAAAAATTTCGCAACATAAATGTCTTTCATTTTGCTGTTTTCCTGGTTTTGTTTGTTTGTTTATTTATTTATTTTTGAGACAGAGTTGCTCTGTCACCCAGGCTGGAGTGCAGTGGCACAATCCCAGCTCACTGCGACCTCTGCCTACCAGGTTCAAGCAGTTCTCATGCTTCAGCCTTCCAGGGAGCTGGGACCACAGGCATCCACCGCCATGCCCAGCTAGTTTTTGTATTTTTTAGTAGAGATGGGTTTCACCATGTTGGCCGGCTGGTCTCAAGCTCCTGTCTCAATCAATCCACCTGCTTCAGTCTCCCAAAGTGCTGGGATTCAGACATGAACCACCACACCCTGCAGTTTTATTTATCTTTAAAAAAATGTTTTTTGATAAATTGTTAAGCAAATAAGAAGTGGGTAAAATAATATCCCAGTTTTATAAATGTATGTGTATGTAAAACTGAAGTAGTCTATATTTAAATCCATAAATAAACATATGTTACTTTTAGAAATAGAATAAAAAATAAAGTATTGGCCAGGTGCAGTGGCTCACGCCAGTAATCTTAGCACTTTAAGGACATTACCTGAGCTCAGGAGTTCGAGACCAGCCTGGGTAACATAGTGAAGCCCCGTCTCTACTAAAATACAAAAAAAAATTAGCCAGGCATGGTGGCATGCACCTGTAGTCCCAGCTACTTGGGAGACTGAGGCAGGAGAATTGCTTGAACCTGGGAGGCAGAGGTTGCAGTGAGCCAAGATCGCACCACTGCACTCTCCAGCCTGGGCAACAGAGTGAGACTCCATCTCTGGTAGAAAAAAAAAAGGTATTATTTTCAAATTATTATGTTTACAGGCCGTCACGGTCAAAGAAGCACTTTCCACCAAAGCCCGGCACATTCGGAGGAGCCTCAGTACACCAAATGTTCATAATGTAAGTGCATCCTGCCAAGGGTCTGCTCCTGTGTGACACGTCTCAGGATCTGGGGTGGGGGAAGGTGGAGTTCACACAGTGGCAAGAGAGCTTATGGCACTGGTGTGGGCATCCCAAAGTGTGGCCTACTTCTCTGTACCAGGGATGCACACCAGGAAGCACAGTTGTCTAAGACCGAGCCATTTGTTCGAGCTTATAAATTCCTGTTCAACAGGTTATCTCCTTGAAAGAAGTTCCTCAAGATATAAATTCAGTCTAGTTGGTTAGAGATGGTGGAGTCAGCTAAGAATCCTGGCAGCCGAGTCCGTAGGTCCTGGCTATTCCAGGGTCAGTTTTTGTGTCTGTTCTAGCTACCCGGGTAGAGCTGAGTCTGCCGCCATCAGTGTGATAGGGAGTCAGCCACTGCATGTAGGCACTCTGGGAGTTCCTTTGACCATTTTGATTATTTTTCTCAACCAATTCATCTAGAAAATCCAATTGACAGAAAATGCTTCTAGCAGGGGCAACACTGTCACAGACAGATAGGACAGATTAGTGCATAGACCACTTCAAAGTAGCCACTTCCCAGAAGCAGCTGAGTGGAAGTAAGGTCTTTCCAAGGAAAAACACAGCCTTCCTATTCTCCAGAATTGCCAGAAAATTATTTAAAACATAGTGAACATTTACAAAAATGTCCTATAGTGGGTTACAAAGCAAATCCCAGTAATCATTATCACACAGATTACTTCTTCTGACCACAATGCATTTATTAGAAATAGATGAGAGACTCATATAGTTATAGATTGAAAAACACTTTTCATGAACTCAGCTGTCAAAGAAGAAATTATAATGGAAATTAGGATGTATTTAAAACTAAATGAGAATAAAAATGATACATCGATCAATGTTTGTGAGATGCAGTTAAAGTGGTACTTAGATAGAAATTCTTCACCCTAAATTCCCTGTAATTCTGGATAAAGCAGAATACCAGACCGTAGAAAAAATGAGAGAGTGAGGGCTACTGTTAGGAAATTTATAGTGCTTATATTAAAAAGCAGAGTAAAAACAATTAGGTAAACATCTAGCTTAAAAAGTAAAGAAAAACTGCTTATGAAGTGATCCAAACATATATATAATTTTTTTTTTTAATCTGAACCTGATCAAGACTTTAGAGAGAATTGCTAGAGGCCAGGAGTTTGAGACCAGCCTCGGGACCATAGTGAGACCCGATCTCTACAAAAATATTTTTAAAATAACCAGATGTGGTGGCACACACTTGTAGTCCCACTCAGGAGGCTGACACGTGATAATCAGTAGCACCCAAGAGTTCAAAGTTACAGTGAGCTATGATCACACCACTGCACTCCAGCCTGGGTGATAGAGCAAGACCCTGTCTCTTTACAAAAAAAAAAGAGAGAGAGAGAGACTCTAAACTACTAATATTTAGAAGACAGAGGAAAATGTTAAATGATGCCACAGGGATTTAATCAGCACAATTCAGACCATGGGAAACGATGCAGAACAAATGACCTAGCTTTTCAAAATAAATTTAAATTTAATTGTTTTTATAACAAATAAACTTTCAAAAGGGAAAACTCAGATTCAAAGAGACTTAAGCGGTATATCAACCAATTGCAATACATGAGCTATTTTCATCTTGATTCAAAGTAAACTGTGAAGTTAAACGTTTATGAGACATTTGAGCACTGACTGTATAATTGATAGTATTTAGGAATCACTTAAATTTTTAAGATGTGATAATGGTATTGTGGTTATGATTTTTAAAAAGGGAAAGGGAGTTCCTTATCTTTTAGAGATTCATAGAGATTTATAGATAAAATTGTTTAAATTTAGGGAAAAAATCAGAATACATTCAAATTAAGAAAGAAAGAAATATTAGAGCAGAAATATAGCCAGGCGTGGTGGCTCACGCTTGTAATCCCAGCACTTTGGGAGGCTGAGGTAGGTGGACCCAAGGTCACGAGTTCAAGACCAGCCTGACCAACATGGTGAAACCCTGTTTCTACTGAAAAATATAAAAATTATCCAGGAATAGTGGCTAATCCCAGCTACTCAGGAGGCCGAGGCAGGAGAGTCTCTTGAGCCCAGGAGGCAGAGGTTACAGTGAGCCAAGATTATTACATTCCAGCCTGGGCAACAGAGCAAGACTCCATCTCAGAAAAAAAAAAGAAATATAAATTCATATAAAGAAGGGAATAATAAATATTAGAACAGAGGTATGTGAAATAAAAACAAATAATCAACAAAGCTGAAAATCAGCTCGTTTGAAAAGACTAGTCAAATGACCTGACTTCTAGTTAGGATTGATTGGGGAAGAAAAGAAAATATGAGAGAAGTTATAAATATTACTGGGAATTAAAAGGAGGCTATTAGTCTAGAAAAAGCAGAAATTCAGACATCATAAGAGTAAACTATGAATAATGTTATGCCAATAAACGTAAAAGCTTAAATAAAACGGAAATTTCCTATAAAGACTGAATCAAGAACAAATAAGAAACCTAAATACAGCTATCAGCAAAAAGGACTAAACTAAAATAATGATTATGTTCATTGATTAGAATTCACAGTATCAAAAACTTGGCATGTCCTTAAGCTAATCTATAAATTATCAGCAGAATTTTTTGTAAGATTTGATAAGTTGATTCTAAAACCTGTATGGAAAAGCAGTCAGAATGTATTCATACCTCATGTACAACCCAGAAATTTCATGCCTTAGATACATACTCTAGAGATTCTCATACATATACAAGTCATATTTAAAATGAAATGATACTAAAAATAGTACACATATCAATACTTGACTAGACTGTTGAATAAGACCATATACAGTAAGGTATCGCTGATACAAAGTATAAAATATGCAAAATGATATTAACTATTGGTTATGAGTATATACACATATAATATATAAAACTTGTATGGGAATAATAAACTCCAAATTGAGGGTAGTCACTATTCCTGGAGAGGGAAGAAAGAGAAGGAGAAGAATGAATAATACAGGCTTCAACTGTGACATTGTTTCTTTATATAAAAAGAAGCATTAAATATATTAACCACATTGATAAAACCATTCTTCTCTTTTAGGTCTCTTCCAGCCGACCAGACCTTTCTGGCTTTGATGAAGATGATAAGGTGTGCACCTATGAGCATGGTTAGGTTTTCAGCAGAATCTCAGTCTGGAAAGTTATGGGATCTTCCCACAAATTTTTTTTTTTTTTTTTTTTTTTTTTTGAGACTGAGTTTCGCTCTTGTTACCCAGGCTGGAGTGCAATGGCGCAATCTCGGCTCACCGCAACCTCCGCCTCCTGGGTTCAGGCAGTTCTCCTGCCTCAGCCTCCCAAGTAGCTGGGATTACAGGCACGTGCCACCATGCCCTGCTAATTCTTTTTGTATTTTTAGTAGAGACGGTGTTTTACCATGTTGACCAGGATGGTCTCGATCTGTTGACCTCGTGATCCACCCACCTCGGCCTCCCAAAGTGCTGGGATTACAGGCGTTAGCCACCGCACCCGGCCCCTTCCCACAACTTTTGAAATCTCTGGGGCTTACTTGGTTGATCCTGTCCGTTTAAAAAAAGAAAAAGGGCTGGGCATGGTGGCTCACACCCGTAATCCCAAGACTTGGGGAGGCTGAGGTGGGCAGATAACCTGAGGTCGGGAGTTTGAGACCAGCCTGGCCAACATGGAGAAACCCCATCTTTACTAAAAATACAAAATTAGCCAGGAGTAGTGGTGCATACCTGTAGTCTCAGCTACTAAGGAGGCTGAGGCAGGAGAATCACTTAAACCTGGGAGGTGGAGGCTGCAGTCGAGATCACACCGTTGCACTTCAGCCTGAGCAGCAAGAGCAAAACTTCATCTCAAAAAAAGAAAAATAAAAATCTCTGGGCTTCCCATCTTAATCATAAGCAAATAGTTCTCTCCACAGCTCCATTTCCAAATTCAAATACTTGATGTGAAATGGCTATGCACCTTTTCATTTTATTTATTTATTTTTTTAGATGAAGTTTCTCTCTTGTTGCCCAGGCTGGAGTGCAGTGGCACAATTTCAGCTCACTGAGCTCACTGCAATCTCTGCCTCTCAGGTTCAAGTGATTCTCCTGCTTCAGCCTCCCGATTAGCTGGGATTATAGGCATTTGCCACCATACCTTTCTAATTTCGTATTTTTAGTAGAGATCTCTGGATCACGAGATCAAGAGATTGAGACCATCCTGGTCAACATGGTGAAACCTCGTCTCTACTAAAAATACAAAAAATTAGCTGGGCATGGTGGCGCGTGCCTGTAATCCCAGCTACTCAGGAGGCTGAGGCAGAATTGCCTGAACCCAGGAGGCAGAGGTTGCGGTGAGCCGAGATCACGCCGTTGCACTCCAGCCTGGGTAACAAGAGCAGAACTCTGTCTCAAAAAAAAAAAAAAGAAGTAGTTTAAAATTTAGTCCTCAGAGGCAGTCAGCTCCTGAGAAGTTGAAATAAGGTTAAATAAGCTCATATGATATGCCAGAGTTTTCTGTTTTGTAAATCAATAACTTATGCCTATTTGAAACCTTTAAATCGCAAGTATAGGTAGAGTAACCACACTGCCAAATTTGCCTGGGACGGTCCCAGCTGTGCCTGCTACTCAGGCAGAATTATTGATGGAACAGATGTCTTCTGAGAGTGTTTCAGTTTGCTCATTAAGTTATCAAGTCATTATGGATATATGCCAAATTGCTCAAAGTGGCTGCCTCTGGGGAGGGAGGAAGATGAATGGGACCAAAAGATTAAACTACATTTGTAATAATTTTATTAAATCTTGAGCAACCATAATAAAATATTGGCATTTATCCACTCTGGGTATACCTTGGGTAAGACAGTATTTGTTATAATATTCAGGCCTTTCCTGTATATTTGAAATATTTCATCATAAAACTAAAGAAGAGTATATACTGCCATTGAAAAATAGAAGAAACTCCGACCTGGGTTTTATTTCTTGTTATACAGTGACTCAATTACAGTCAGCCTATATTTTTACCTTATAGGGTTGGCCAGAGAACCAGTTAGACATGTCTGACTACAGCTCCAGTTACCAAGATGTAGCATGTTATGGAACTTTACCCAGGGATTCTCCTCGAAGGAATAAAGAAGGTAGTGGTGAGATTATTTTGCAGTGATATTTCTTTGTAATTACTTAGAAAACACATGAAAAAAATCTTTCACTAGTGGCGTATAATGAGATATGAAGCTGATATTCTAATTAACTAAATGGATTCAAAGCTGTCTTGTTGAATGGAACCTATCAAGTTCACTTACTTGATCTATTTTTGTTTTGTATCCAACATCCCACCCAAATAATCGTAGGCTTTTTGTATATCTCTTTAGAACTTCCACATCATTTTTCATACATCATTTCCTGACTTTGAAGTCCAGTTTTGAGACACATACAAATCGTATTATTTTCTACAAGAAGAATGTCCAGCTTTGTCATGTTTGTGTACCTAAAGGAATCTTTTAAAGAACATGACTTTGATTTGTAAAGCGGTTTTCAAAAATGATACCCAAAATGAGTTTGATTCATGGTAATATTATTACCTAAATTATATGTCTACCAGTGCCTTAATGGGAATAGTATTCTTTGGCTATATAAACCAGTTCTATTACCTTATACCTTATATTAGTAGGTAAAATATAAGATATATTCGCCGTTATGCTAGCAAATTGGAAAGGGAGGCAAGACGCCAAAGGGGTAAGAAATGATTCGAGCAAAAAAGAAGAATTGTCCTCCCTTAGTCATATAGAGCAGGGAAAAAAAGAGGCTTGCAGGAAAATGTACACAGTATTCATTCATTGAGTACTTACTGAGCCTCAACTTTCTGTCTTAATATAACTGTGGAAACAAGAGACAGAAAATAAGATGTTAATCTAGCTTGACTCCTGGTGATTAAAAAAAGAAAATAAGATGTTAAATGATAAAGTACCAAAATGAACGTGCAGATATTAATAAGGGCTGTGAGAATTCAGAGAAATGGAAAATCAGCACGAGCTGAAATTGGTTAGTGGTGCTTAAGCTGGATCTTGAAAAGAGTGTAGAACATTTGGTGTCTCATTTTGTTCACATACATTAGCACTTTAGTAACTCTTTGTAGTCATAGATTTATTCCTATTCTTGCCTGCGTCTGTTTCATGGTTTTTCTTGGTTTGGTTTGGTTTGGTTTGGTTTTTTGTGGTTTTTTTGAGACAGGGTCTCTCTCTCTTGCCCAGGCTGGGGTACAGTGACACCATCATAACTCACTGCAGCCTCAAACCCTGGGGCTCAAACGATCTTCTCGCCTCAGCCTCCTGAGTAGCAAGTACAACAGGGGCACACCACCATGCCCGGCTATTTGGGTTTTTTTTTTTTTTTTTTTACAGTCTGGTCTCCCTATGTTGCACAGGGTGGGTATACGTCTGTTTTCATGCTTAGCCAAATATTATCCTAAGAATTTCGTTGTTCTCCCGGATATTCCCATGGCTAGGTCATTGCCTCAGTTCCTATGTGTTACTTAAAGTGTGCGGCATCTGTAAACTCATAACTTCTCATTTTCCCCAGGTTGTACATCGGAGACTCCTCATGCCTTAACCGTCAGCCCTTTTAAAGCATTTTCTCCTCAGCCGCCAAAGTTTTTCAAGCCCCTAATGCCTGTAAAAGAGGAGCATAAGAAAAGGATAGCCCTTGAAGCAAGGCCTCTTCTAAGCCAGGAGGTAAACACTTGACTTGTCTGTTATGTGCAGAATAGAGCAGAGTGTGTCGCCTGTGAAGCAGCCATTTGCATTAACAAGTCGAGCGCTGCATGTGGACGTGCATGGTCATCACTCCATGGACCCTCGTTCTCGAATTCCGCTTTCTCAAGCATGCAGAGTCATGGTAGAATCTCTTGTTTGTTGTTGCCGCTGTGGTTTTATTTCTTTGTGTTCATGACTTTTCAAAGTATTTTTTATGTTTCAAGTGAGAAAGATGTTTTCTAGGTGTTTTGGAAATATTACAGGCTTTTTTAAAATTATTTTTCTTTTTTGTCTTATTGGGGATTTTTAATTTTGTTTTTTATAGAGATAGGGTCTTGCTGTGTTACTCAGGCTAGTATCAAAGTGCTGGCCTCAAGTGATCCTCCTGCCTCAGTCTCAGGGCACTGGGATTACAGGCGTGAGCCACTGTACCTGGTCAAAAGGCTGTTTTTTAAATAAGACTAATTATGCTTTTTGCCACAGAATCTATTTGTTCCTGTCCTAATTCTCCAGTAGTTTTACTCTGGGCTGCAGAATTGGCTGCTTGCATTACTCACATGTAACAAGGGTATTAGCATTGTGTTTCTAACTTGCATGTACTTAATGTGTATCTTGGCCGTTGTCGTCTTTTGTATGTGATGCATCTGTGTGTCTTAACCTTTGCAGAGCATGCCTCCACCTCAGGCTCATAACCCTGGCTGCATTGTGCCCTCAGGAAGCAGTGGCAGCAGCATGCCAGTAGAACACAATAGCAAACGTGAGAAGAAGATTGTAAGTTCTGGAACCGTTTCTGTCATATTGCCTGGTGGTGGGTTTAAGGCCCTTTCACAGACAATCATCCAAATGCTAGAAGAAATTAAGACTTGTGTTGGGTCTTTGCCTTAAAAAAATTCCAATGTGACCATTGATAAAGATATTTTGCATGGATGTGGCTGTGATCTGCAATTTTATTTTATTTATTTTTTGCTTAGAAAAGGGAGAAAGGCACTTTGATTGCTTCTGGTTTTTATAAAAAGTGTAACAAAGAGATATCTTTAATTAATACTGAAATCTTTCTAATGTACCTATACATATTGCCCAGATTCTGAAGTTAATCTACCTAGAGGAATTGCGCTTACTTGGAGTAAGTAATCATGCATTTAGCTGTGGATATATTTGGAAGCTTTTTTATGTTGCCCGATGCTATTGCCAAGATAATTCTGTAGTTAGAGCTGCACTGCAGTCTACCATGACCCTTCATCATCTCACTGTCTAGGGTAGCCTTTGTTAATTAGCTGGCAAAATATATTCCCATACATTGGTACTGACCTTGCATTCAGGATGGCTTATGTATGTATATTTTGCCACAGGTAGGTTGAAACTCTACCTGTGAAACCTCATTCCTTAGCACTTGGTTTTAAAATTATAAATTTGAGATATAGTTTTGAAAACACTGCATACCAGGCACCTTAGATTATAAGTTATACCTCAATTTTTAAAAATCTGTATGTTCTCAAGCCTGGAAAGAATTCTATAATTTTTTTGTCTCAGCTTTCACCCTCCTGTGGCTTCCTAGGCTTTGAAAAGTAAAGCCAACGCGGGGAGACAGGAGGGTGCTTGATGCTTGTGTTGACTCTGATTGTCTCTGTTGGGCAGAGTGTGGGGAGTCTCATTTCCTAGTGACACCATGCCAGACCCGTTCCCAGAGCTCATGAGTGTGAGATCTTTTAACAGTTCCTAACGCACACTGTGAGAACTAACTGCAGCTTAATCTGGATGTGCAGTTGGCCACCCCCCTGCATGCTTGGGGTGCTGGTGGATCTTCAGAAACACCTCATTTCTAATATGAGGAAAGAAGAAAAGCACCATTTTCCCTCTATTTCTTTATCCCTCTTCCCCTCCTCTGCCTTTGGTTTCTCCCTGTCCCTCTATCCCAAAACCCCATCCTAGTTCCTGATGGAGGAGACTCCACGTATTAATAGCTGCTCCTTCATCTCTCCAGATCTTACTGAGCTGTTCCCTCACTTACCTAACCACCCCTTGCTCTATTAACAAGGGCTACAGTGTGGACTAAAAAAGGCCAAATGACTAGTTTGTTCCCCTGCCAATTCTCTGGCTCTGTGTCTGATTGGATCTGTTTCTTGGCGTGACATTTATCACTGTGGTGCACAGCCACTCAATTTAAACCTATTGTAACAACACATTTTGGTAGAACACCCTCAAGAGACTGCTGGATGAGGTTTCTGGGCTGCTCAGCAAGTATTTTCACAGTTCGCAGGGCTAGACTCATGTTTTCTTCACTTTCCCTTTAATATTTTAAAATAAAACCCATCTCAGGGCTTTCAGCTAGCAGAGGGCAGGATGGAACCAGATTATCTTGACCCAAGAAGTCTCAAGCAGCGGTTAGTCTCTATGACTCAATGTGCCGTGGAGTACTAATAAGGAGGATTTGATGGTGTTACTGTTCCCGCCAGAGTCTTACTTGAAAAAGCTGTCCTCTGCTCTCCATAGGAAACTGGCTTGCTGAGCATTCTGCACCCAAGAGGTTTTTGGGCTGTTTAATTCATTCCAGATAGCAGTTTTTCAGGGTGTTTTGGTAGAGTTTACATGCATTTTCTGTTTGGCCTAAGGTTCCTGTTTCTCTTTGGGAAACTTTTTTTTTTCTCTTATAAGCGGGTACAAACTGTTTTCTTCCTCTGTGACTAATTCACATTCTTTTCTCTTCCACTTTTGAAGAATCAGAGCGACTCAGGAGTTCAGACTGATCAAGAGAGTTTGAAATCATTCTTGAGAAGGACAGTATCAAGACGTTGTTCCTGTCATTGTTTGACCCATCTAATTACCATAGTAACCTCTGTAATAAAATATAGTCAATATGGCTATGCTTGATTCTTAAAGCAATATTTTATTGTTTGATCAGTTTGAGAAGACACAGATGTACTTCGTGTCTCATATGAATAAGATAGAGCCAACAATATATCTTTGGAGTCTATTTTTTGAAGTCACAAAACATAGAGAATAGCAGAAAAAAAGTCAGTGATTTTTCCTAGTATCCACATGACCCTTCTCTTAGGTCTTACATAGATAGTATGTGGTTTATTCCTCTCATTTACAGAAGAAGAAACAAAGGGTTAGAATTGTTGAGCAACTCGCTCAACGTCTCACAGTTAATAAGAGCATAAGACCAAAGAGCCCCTTCCTCAGCATAATTGAGGGGACTCCACTGACTCCAGGTGCTTCCAAAGATGGTGCAGTTCCAGTATGCCCTGCAGCTCACTCCTCAGTACCATGGACAGAAGTACTGGAGCCCTTGGCTGGTACAGTTCTGCAGAGACCTCTGGTGAACAGCACAGACATGATTATAATAGAAGTGGAAATTGCATTAATCAAGTGAAACTCCTTACAAGGAATCACCACTTTAATGTGGATGTCAATCCCTTTTTAAAATCAAGGTGTTTTGTCTATAGGTAAATAGCAGCATAAGTTAAATTCCAAAAATCAAATGAAGACTGTAGCTGTAGAGAAACTGGAGAACTTGACTCCATGCACCACTTTAGGTAGGGTTTTCATTATTTTTGTCCTTAAGACATTGTAGGAAGGTACTTAGTTTATTCTTCTTTAAGATATAATGAGAAATGATATTTCTGGTACAAAAAGTCTAAACCAAACTCCCTCAAAATACAATGTACGCCAATTAAATCATCCCTTAATTGGCAATAACTCAGTAAACATTCAATCTCCTTTTAAGTATTGGAAAATGTTTAATCTCTGCTAAATTTTCCTTTTTCTGGAATAAGCTGTCCCTACTGTTTTCATCTTTTCCTTTGGGACGTTGGGTTATTTTCCCCACTGTGAACTGCTACCTATTTGAACTTAATCTCTTGGGGCTTTGTAGATTCTTAGTTTTGTTAATGTCACTCTAATCCTTTAGGAATAAGTTATTATCTTTGATAAGTTTATAACTCTTTCTACTTAGTAAATTCGTGATTACATATTTCATTCAGCAAAATTATATTTTAAGATAACAGACCTTTTCTTGGTCTTGAGAAGAAATAGCTTCAAGCATATAAAGGACCCCAAATTACTAATTTTCATCTTTAAATTTGATTTTCCTTGCAGTAAATAACTTTAGTAATTAATTATAGTAAATAGTAATTTAGTCATTAATTGCATCGTATATGCTTGGACTTGGAGAATTGTGTTTCTTTGCCAGCTTAAATCAAAAGGAAATAGAAGAGATACAAACACTTGAAATTTAATTTTGTGCTGGGCGAGGTGGCGCACGCCTGTAATCCTAGCACTTTGGAAGGCTGAGGCAGGCAGATCGCCTGAGGTCAGGAGTTCGAGACAAGCCTGGCCAACATGGTGAAACCTCATTTCTACTAAAAATATAAAAATTAGCCAGTCATGGTGGCAGTTGCCTGTAATCCCAGCTACTCGGGAGGCTGAGGCAGGAGAATTGCTTGAATCCAGGAGGTGGAGGTTGCAATGAGCCGAGATCACACCATTGCACACCAGCCTGGTCAACAAGAGTGAGACTTTGTCTCCAAAAAAAAAAAAGGAAAAAAGAAATTTAATTTTGAGTCTAAACTGACAAGTAGAGAATATAGAAAATATAGGCAAAGGCTACTGGTTCAGACAATTCTGTTTGGTCTTTGTTCCTTCACCAACATTTCCCCAAACCCAGATAAAGAATGCTCTACCCACCCACTTTTTTGATAATGCTACTTAATTTAGAATGCAGATTAAGATAAGATGGGAATAGATTACTGTTGCCAAAAATTTTGTTTTGCCAATTTCAGGAACTTTATCACTAATATTTGATATTCACCTTTGATTAATAGCTAAAGAATTAAGATCACCAATTCCTTTACACATTTATATTCAGTCACATTTTTAGAACTTAGTTATAAAAACTAAATTATTTTAAAAGCTGAGAAGCATTTAAGAGAGTATTAAACTGCCAGGCACAGTGGTTCATGCCTGTAATCCTAGCACTTTGGGAGGTTGAGGCAGGCATATCACGAGGTCAGGAATCGAGACCATCCTGGCTAAAACGGTGAAACCCCGTCTCTACTAAAAATACAAAAATTAGCTAGGTGTGGTGGCATGTGCCTGTAGTCCCAGCTACTTGGGAGGCAGAGGCAGGAGAATAGCTTGAATCCACGAGGCTGAGATTGCAGTGAGCCAAGATCGCACCACTGCAATCCAGCCTGGGTGACAGAGTGAGACTCCATTTCAAAAAAAAAGAGTATTATACTATTTTGGAGGTATGTAGAATCTTGAGATGCAAAAGAAAATACTACTATTCATCTAAACAGGTGAAAGTTATGTTCATTTGTAAACAAGTATTTGCCACACCTGGAAGATGTTGCCCCCTCACCATCTCAATTAAAACGCAAATTTATGGGCCAGGTAAAGTGGCTCAGACCTGTAATCTCAGCTACTCAGGATGCTGAGATCCGAGAGCTGCTTGAGCCCAGGAATTTGAGACTACAGTGAGCTACAATTGCACTACTCCACACCAACCTGAGTGACAGAGTGGACCCCTGTCTGTAAAAAAATAAACACATAAAAGCAAATAAATCTTGAAATAAATAATATGCAAACTTAATGAATAGGGCTGATGTTTTGGTTCCAGGTCTTTACATGCATCTAGCTATTCTAATTGTACAGATATTTTAAACCAGATGACCAATGAAAGAAAGCTGTTTTTGAAGTATCTAAGTTTTCCTGTAAATGAAATTTTTATCCATCCATGCAGAATCCAGGATTGTTCTAAGAGCAAGGGTGCAAAGTTGTAATTCTCTGAGGGAGGGAGCATGCCTTCTTTTGCTCACCATTGCTATTCCCAAGTTCTTATGACAATGGCTGTCATGTAGTAAATGCTCAGTGTGTGTTTGTTGAATGAAAGACACATTTTAAGAGGAATATTTACGATTTCATTAGGTGCTTCTGAGGTTAATTACAAATGGCTAGAGGGTATATATCATTTATTTTATTTGGATGTAAAATATCCACATTTTTTTCTACCAAAAATAAAAGAACCATTCATTTGGAGAGAGATTTGGGAGTTGATGACACCCACTTTTATAAGTATTTACCGATTGTTATGCACAGGGTTTGAAAACTATTTTACAAAGGAGATTTTCATTTAAACTTTACCATGCCTTCTTCACCTTCTAGCCAAACTCATACTTCCCAAAAATCCTAGAAGACAGTGATTGTCGGATAAATTGTTAGTATTTTATTGTCTTACAATATTTAGTATAATATAAAAGTGAGTCTTGAAATTGTGTGTTTTGCCCTTTTGCAGTTGGGTTCTTTGTTTAATTTCCCTTTCCCCCATAAGATAGCTGAGAAATTTTTACAAATTACCTTAACTACCTTTGCTTTTCAAGTGGAAGAGTCTAAAGACAAATGGAGTGGCTCTTCTCTTCTTCTGCCTGTTTCTCTGCTCATTTTACGAGAAAAGAGAAAATATCGCAACTAAAAACTAACTCCGAGTAACTAATACAATGTCCGATGCACTTCAGTTCCATCCTTTCTCTTAAACCAGGGAAGGAATTTCTAATTAGCACTGAGTGAGCCTAGAAGAACTAAATACCCTTCATATTAGATGACAAGGGGTTTATATTTGCAGGTCTCTGAGAATACTGACATACCTGTATCTACAATAGGTGACGTGATCTGGCCAGATTTGGAAAGACAGAAAGAAAACACTGAACGCCATGTGAATGCAAATGCCTTTAGTAGCCAAGTATTTAAAACTTGTCTCAACAGTACAGTCGCTACAAGGAGCTAATGACTGACTTTTGCTTTACTTCTACAGGACTCTGAGGAGGAAGAAAATGAGCTGGATGCTATTAACAGGAAGCTGATAAGTTCACAGACTTACGTGCCTGTGGAGTTTGCTGACTTCAGTGTTTACAACGCCAGCTTGGAGAACAGGGAATGGTTTTCCTCAAAAGTAGATCTGTCAAACTCACGGGTCTTGGAGAAAGAAGTGTCCCGTAGCCCTACCACCAGCAGTATTACCAGTGGCTACTTTTCCCACAGTGCCTCCAATGCCACCCTGTCTGATATGGTGGTCCCTTCTAGTGACAGCTCAGATCAGCTGGCCCTTCAGACAAAGGACGCAGACTCCACCGAGCACTCCATACCATCGCTTGTGCATGATTTCAGGCCGTCCTCAAACAAAGAGTTAACAGAAGTAGAAAAAGTCTTGGTAAAGGACAAGATGAGTATGGTGCCACTCAAGGAAAACAGTGCCTTAGCCAGAGGGAGCCCGTCATCCCAAAACATCCCTGAGAAAAACTCCAAATCGCCGTGCAGGACTGGCTCATGTGCAGAACCAGATGTCTGCCCCAGCAAAAGCAGCCAGCCAGCCAGGGGATTCTTCCCCAGGGAGGTGACAGTAGAACACACCACCAACATCCTTGAGGACCATTCTTTCACAGAGTTTATGGGGGTGTCAGAGGGAAAAGATTTTGATGGTTTGACATATTCTTCTGCTGGAGAGCTTTCGAGTAGGAAGAACCTACCGAATAAAACAGGCAGCAGGACCGTCTCAGATGGGCTCCACCACCCCAGCCAGCTGCATTCCAAGTTAGAGAATGACCAGGTAATCATTCCAGAGGAAGCCCTTTGGGTTCTGTGCTGTCAGTGAGTATGTCTAATTGTATAGAACCCCAGAGGCCCTTCACTGCAACGGCTTGGTAGGAAAGATTCATCCAGATGTTTCCAACAGCAAAGATGAGCCCACAGAGAAGCAGGCTCACTTCCTGCACAGCTGGCCCTGTTGAAGAGCAAGTCCGCCTTGGGAACTAGAATGCAATTTTGAAATTATAGGACCAGTGGATTTTTTTTTTTTTACCTGGCATAGGTGTTGGTGTTGAATTAAGTGTTCAAATGGATGAGGATCAAGCTGATATCCATTCCCTAAGATGTTCAGTTACTAGCTTTCCCAAAGTTTTCTGGTAGCATCTATCATATTTCATCAAATCTGATTCCTTTCATTACTGTATGATCCATTATTTTATGTATCATTAAGAAAAAATACGGCCGATTAAACTTTATAATACAAACAGTTATAAGACACACCCCAATTTCAGAGATGTTAAAATGAGAGAAAAATATATTGTAGAACTGGAAAAAGACAGTCCTTTGGTGCCCATAGGTGGAAAAGTGCTTTGGGGAGGTATAGGCAAATTTCACCAGCAGTTGAAGTTTGGGCTTTGGACGTAACTCAGGTTAGTTTATAATATTGGTTAATTTTCTTTTTTCTGTTTTTTTTTTGAGACAGAGTCTTGCTCTCGCTCTGTCGCCCGGGCTACAGTGCAGTGTCACGATCTTGGCTCACAGCAACCTCTACCTTCCCGGCTCAAGCAGTCCTCCTGCCTCAGCCTCTCGTGTAGCTGGGACTACAGGCACACACCACCACACCTGGCTAATTTTCTTTATTTTCACCGTGTGGCCAGGCTGGTCTCAAACTTCTGACCTCAGGTGATCCATTTGCCTCTACCTCCCAAAGTGCGGGGATTACAGGCGTGAGCCACCACACCTGGCCAATAAATGTTGGTTAATTTTCATATGGGAGCAGAATGAGTTTTTGCTACTATTGCTAAGGAGAATTGCAAATTATATAAATAAGAGACGTTCTGCTTCTGAGCATTCTGCTCTGAAGTACCACCAACTGTAAGAGTTATGGAAGAAGAGTCATGGATTAGCAAAATAAAGAACTGACAGAGCTAGAAAATGGCTTGGTGAAAGTAAGATAATCATGCTGCCACTCTATCCCTTTGTTTTGCTGAGCAAGTTATTCCATCGATGTGGCTTTTTGCCCCATTGCTTTTGCCCCTGCTTTCCATACCAGCTCTTAAAATTTCAGTGTATGGTCATTTTTATAGCATACTCATTACTGAACTGCCAAAACCTAAACAGTCATCTCTGACAAGAAGAAAAAGACTTCCTTCCCCAATGTAAGAATAATCATAGAGTCACTCACCACTGTTCTTGCAAGCAATACATGCATTTGTTTAGGTCTTCAACTTCCTTTACATGGATTAAAGCAGAAGCTACATGGCTGGTGTACATCAGCTTTTCAGTCCTTGTTGGTTACGAAGGCCAGTGTCAAAGACTCTTTAATTATTTACCCTAAGGTTAGGTTCGCTTCTCAAACCTAAAGGTGCTACAAACTTTAGGGGCACAGAGTGTGTGGCAGAGGGTGCCTTTTAAAAATTCAAATTCACGGCCAGGCTCAGTGGCTCAAGCCTATAATACCAGCACTTGGGGAGGCTGAGGCAGGTGGATTGCCAGAGGTCAGGAGTTCAAAACCAGCCTGGCCAACATGGTGAAACCGCATCTCTACTAAAAGTACAAAAATTAGCCAGGCATAGTGCCACATGCTTATAATCCCAGCTACTTGGGAGGCTGAGGCAGGAGAATCACTTGAACCCAGGAGGCAGAGGTTGCAATGAGCCAAGATTGCGCCACTGCACTCTAGCTTGGGCAACAGAGCAAGACTCCGTCTCAAAAAAAAAAAAAAAATTCAAATTCGCCTGGGCTTGGTGGCTTGCGCCTGTAGTTCCAGCTATTCTGGAGGCTGAGGCAGGATGATCACTTGAGCCCAGGAGCTCAAGACCAGTCTGGACAACAGAGTGAGATCCTGTCTCTGTTTAAATAATTTTAAAAATGAAATAAAATTTTTAAAAATTCAAATTCCCGGGAGTCACTGCCCTCCAGCCCTAAGATTTTGCTTTATACAGTGTGCATCGGGGAAATAAGGTATTCACAAACCCTTCTTTCCTCCCTATCCCCTTCCACCCCCATAGAGTAATAGGAGACAGGGCATCTGAGGGCCATACTGTGGGAAGCACTGCCCATGGAAGAGGGAAGAGGGGCAACAACCCCATTCTTGCCTAGATTATTTAGGACCCAATAGGAAGAGGTAAGGATTGGAAAATTTCCAGAATAGTGTGTTCCTGCCAAAGACCATGCTTTAAAATGAAATTTACAAACATGGTAGTTATATCAAAATAATGGGATTATAGAGATTTTTCTCCATTAAAAAGTTTTTGGAGACCAGGCACAGTGGCTCATGCCTACAGTGTCAGCACTTTGGGAGGCCAGGGCAGGAGGATCACTTAAGCCCAGGAGTTTGACATCATCCTGGGCAACATAGCAAGACCTCGTCTCTAAAAAATGAAAAATATTTTTGACTTAATGTTTTTGTTACATTGGTTTGAATAATTTGTTTTGACGGTTTAATTTTTTCTGAGAACTCTCAGTTGGACTTTCGTTCGAACCCCTGAAACGACTTGGACTGCACATCTAGAAGTAACTTTTTTTCTTTTTTGAGATGGAGTCTCACTCTGTCACCCAGGCTGGAGTGCAGTGGTGCAATCTCGGCTCATTGCAACCTCCACCTCCCTGGTTAAAGTGATTCTCCTGTCTCAGCCTCCTGAGTAGCTGGGATTACAGGCACAGGTCGCCACGCCTGGCTAATTTTTTGTATTTCTAGTAAAGAAGGGGTTTCACCGTGTTCCCCAGGTTGGTTTCAAACTTCTAAGCTCAGGCAATCCACCTACCTCAGCCTCCCAAGGTGCTAGGATTACAAGCATGAGCCACCGTACCCAACCTAACTTTTTTTCTTTTTAACTTTTACTTTGGGTGTTGCTGTCATTACTTTTCCCAGAAACATCACCTCAGGACTTCTACAGTGTGAATTCCAGCACTGGATTCCATAATAAAACCAATCCTGTCAATCCCTTTAGGAAGAGCTCCTTTCTTGTAGTGGGTGTGGAATGGGCTGAGGTTGGGTGCTATGGGTGGGGTGGCAGGTAGGGATGAGAAGCATGAACTCACCAGCTTCTGCATTCCAGGGAGACACAACCTCAAGGTAGGAGCGGCGAGAACCCCCTCCTCAGGCCACAGCTTGACATCTTTGTTCACCTGGTCATCTTGGGCAGGCACCAGCTCCATCTTTAAAACATGCTGCCATCCGGCTAGACCTCAGACCAGAAGCTGGAGAAGCCACGCCGGGCACTTCCTGGGCCACCTCCTTTCCCCTCTCCAGTGGGAGAAGCAGCACTTTGTCACTTGGGTGAATCAACAGCCTCTGGTTTTTTCCAGAAAGCAAGAGAACTGAAAATCCTGGATTAGCTAAGTGACAGTATTTTTGTTTGCACTTACTACACACCTCCACTGTATAGAAACCTCTACAGACTCCAACAGACTGTTCTTGTACAATTTTAATCAGTTCTTACTGTAGAATCTGGAGTCAGTGCTCTAATCTGTTTTTTATAAATAATATATATTATGTATATGAAACGTGTATCTATAGTATGTCTGGAGACAGACAGGGCTACACACTAAAATGCAGATAAAGGTGATTTGTAGAGAATTATAAGGTACTGGACTTTGTTACAAAGCAACTTGGGCGATCTCTTATACATGAGCAGATGAAAAATGTTTTATTGCCTAAGAATGAGCTTGAAAATCCCTCTTTGCAGAAAAGGTTATAGAATGCTGTTCTTTATAACCAAAGAACTTACATAAGACAACATTTTTGCTGTCCACTCTTTTGTGTGAACATATATGTTTGACTGCGAGTTTGGTGCCATAATTCCCTTGGCTACCAAGCCACGTGCTGCCGTTCTCTGTCCTCTGTTTCATAAGCACACTGAGAAATCCCACAGCTATATTCTTTGGTCTTCCACCTGCCCCACCACCTGCTGACTTGGCATTGTATTATAACCATTGACTGTGACTGGGGCCCTGACTCCACAGATACCTGGACCATGGCTCAGCCCAGCTGGGCAGGTGGAATAAAGAGAGCAGTATTACTGTAAGAAAACACAAGGACAGCCAGGAGTCGTGGTGGGGTGGGTGGGATGGGAGGTGTTGATTTTCGTGTGTTTTTGTGTGTGTGGTTTTGTTTTGGATTGGTAGGTTTCACTGTGGTGTGATTTTGCTGTTGTTATTTTGCTTGATTCTGGAAAATGCTGAGGAGATGGACTGAGCTATGAAGTTCAGTGGTTCATACTTTACCATGTTTGCAGGAGATGATCGAATACAGGTGACCCTGCTGTCGTGTCTTCATTTATAAAATCCTCCTATGAATGGAGACATTGAAGGATTATGTGTATGGAAATTTTTACAAAAATCCTTTCTGTACCTATTCAGTAGATGCCTGTATAATCAGTCTGGATGTACAGCTATAAATGTGTTAGAGCGCAAGAGAGAGAGAATGCGTACAGCCTGCTGTACCTTTTTTCTTTAAGTTCTTCGAGTTGGTAAATGAGTAAGACATTGGAAACCTTAATGAAAAGCTGCTGTTCATGATTTGTGTGTATAGTAAGCTGACTGTAGTATTTTACTATTGTCTGTTAAAAAAAAAAAAAAGAAAAACTGTAATTTATATCCCCTTTCAACTTTATTGTGTTTAATTGGTACAGATGTCTCTCTCTCTCTGTCTGTATGTGTGTGTGTGTGTGAGAGAGAGAGAGAGAGAGAGAGTGTTTTAGAATACAAACTGTGTAATTCAGATTTTAAAACATCAATTGTTTTTACTAACCCTGCCATTAGTTTCACATCGGATGTACCGTATTTCTAGGTATGCACGTCTCTGTACTGTTAAACAATAATAATATCAGCCAGCATTTACTGGGGGTCAACTGTGTGCTAGGCACTGTTCCAAACATTTGATATTCATTATCTCATTTAATCCCCACAGCAACAAGCCCATAGGTATTATGGTCATTAAGTGTTTGACAAGTGGAAAACTGAGGCAGAGAAATTACTGATGGAGCCTTAGCAAAGCCAGGATCCAGGCCACACTTCTCTTGTCAGTCTCTGTGTTCAGCATGTCATGGACAGACGGGCCTCTTGAAGGGAGAACTGGGCACCTCCAGAGGACAGAAGGGTGTGGTGAGTGTCACAAGTTCCAGATGGACCAACCCCATTGTGATGGAGGGGTGGGTATCTGGAGCAGGTAGGACGGGGCGAATTATCCCTGTTCCGGATGCCCAAATTTTTACAGCAAGTAGCAGTACCCTGCCAACAGTAAAATAGTGGCTAAAGGTAGCTTTTATAAAAATCTTATCTAAAAAACAGAATTATTTTTGAATTCTTACAGAATTATTACAGAATCTTTCCAGAAAAATCTCAGCTATTCACAATAGCCTTTCTGAAGTTACACAGAATTAGATCTAACTTGTCCTGGACAGAAGGTTGCCCTGTGTAGACTTCCATGAGAGAGGAGAGAAGGGATCCAAAGAAACCCCAAAGCTTATTTGAATTTTAGAGAATAGATTTAGGAAGAGGAAGGCAGCTATTTCATATTTAAATCAAAGATAACAACTAAATGTATAGTTCAAGAGAAAATGAACAAATCATCATTCCCCTTGCTAGTGTGAGACCACTGGTTCAGGTCAGTGACATATTCATCTGTTGTTATGACTAAGAACAAACTGGGTTTAGGACATGTTTTATTGGATAGTTAGAGGCAGGTGTTTCACAGTTATTTCCAAGATACAGTAGTACTGGTGCCATCACATTTGTTGGTAGTTTTTTAGAAACACATTTTATCATAACAAAAATACAACCTTGTGTTTCTATGGCACGGACTTATGGGGAGAATAGCTGTTTTTAAAAATGCCTTTGGGGTTATGGCTCGAGCTATGTCCACTAGCACAGGAGTGGGAGTCATGGGGACCAGCTGCAGCATCCTCATTGTGTCCTCCTGGGGAGAAGAAAGGGTCATTTGGAGCTGCCAGTTTCCCTTCCTGGGGGCCTTTGGAAGTTCAGTGAGAACTGGAAAGAATTTGCTCAAAGGGAAACCAGAAAAGAAATAGCTCCTTAACTAGAAAGTTCATTTTGTTTCGGTTGTGAGTCCTTTCATTAAGAAAGATAAATTCTGGCCAGGTGCAGTGGCTCACATCTGTAATCCCAGCACTTTGGGAGACCAAGGCAGCTGGATCACCTGAGGTCAGGAGTTTGAGACCAGCCTGGCCAACATGGTGAAATCCTGTCTCTACTAAAAATACAAAAATTAGCTTGGCATGGTGGCGCATGCCTATAGTCCCAGCTATTCGGAAGGTTGAGGCAGGAGAATCACTCAAACCCAGGAGGTGGGGTTTCAGTGAGCAGAGATCACACCACTGCACTCCAGCCTGGGCGACAGAGTGAGACTCCATCTCAAAAATAAGAAAAAAAAAAAAAAAAAGATAATTTCCATATGTCACATGATTCAAAACTAAAGAATGTAGAGCCTGAAAAAAAATAACAGCTGGGAGTGGCTTCCTTGGGAATAATGTCCTCAGCTAGACCAACTATGTCCTCTGTTAGACCAATGTTTCTAAGCACTACGTTCTTTTTTTTTTTTCTTTTTTGAGACGGAGTCTCGCTCTGTCATCCAGGCTGGAATGCTGTGGTGCAGCCTCTGCTCACTGCAATCTCTGCCCCCCAGGTTCAAGCAATTCTCCTGCCTCAGCCTCCCAAATAGCTGGAACTACAGGTGCTCACCACCACACCCGGCTAATTTTTGTATTTTTTAGGTTTCACCATATTGGCCAGGCAGATCCCGAGCTCCTGACCTCGTGATCTGCCCACTTGGCCTCCCAAAGTGTTTGGATTACAGGTGTGAGCCACTGTGCCCGGTCCTGGCACAGCTTAATTATATCTTAAATTCATTTTCATCAGTAGCCAACTTTATTATCATAGCTTCAAAGGCTGATCTCCCTGTCTCTAACCCCTCGCTTTTCCCATTCTGCATATATGTCTAGTATGTAGAATGTCTTTTACATGCATTATTTCATTGAATCTTTGGAACCATTTGTAAGATAAACATTTTCATCTCCATTTTATAAGTGAAGAAAAGAAGTTTGAGAAAATTGCTGAAAGTCAAACAGTAGATGAATGGCAGCACCAGGCCATAGTCTACCTGACTTCTGAGGCAAGCTCTAGGTGGGGAGGGGTGGCTCACACCTGTAATCCCAGTACTTTGGGAGGCTGAGGTGGGCAGATCACTTGAGGTCAGGAGTTCAAGACCAACCTGGCCAACATGGTGAAATCCCATTTCTATGAAAAATACAAAAAATTAGCTGGGTGTGGTAGCAGATGCCTGTAATTCCAGCTACTCAGGCAGCTGAGGCAGGAGAATCATTTGAACCCAAGAGGCAGAGGTTGCAGTGAGCTGAGATTGTGCCACTGCACTCTAGCCTGGGTGACAGAGCAAGACCTTGCCTTAAAAAAAAAAAAAAAGGCCAGATACAGTAGCTCACACCTGTAATCCCAGCACTTTGGGAGGCCAAGGCAGATAGATCACAAGGTCAGTAGATCGAGACCATCCTGGCCAACATGGTGGAACCCTTGTCTCCACTAAAAAATACAAAAATTAGCTGGGCTGGTGGTGGGTGCCTATAATCCCAGTACACAGGAGCCTGAGGCAGGAAAATCCTTGAACCTGGGAGGTGGAGATTGCAGTGAGCTGAGATCGAGCCACTGCACTCCAGCCTGGCAACAGCCATCTCAAAAAAAAAAAAAAAAGAAAAAAGCAAGCTCTAGTTCTATTAAACCATCCTAAGTCCAGCCTGATTTGAGTCCAAGCTATCTTTTTGGTTCTACCGCTTACTGATCCTACCCTCTTTCTAGACTCACTGTACTACTTTAATATCTTTTTTTTTTTTTATTTTAGACAGTGTCTCCTCTTGCCCAGGCTGGAGTGCAGTGGCATGATCATGGCTCACTGCAACCTTGACCTTCCAGCCTTAAGTGATCCTGCCACCTCAGCCTCCCGAGTAGCTG